CCCCAATGCCAATGATGGCCTCTACAGACTCTGGATAGCATGGATAGTCCCAATTCAATTTCGGATAATAAGCAAACTGTATTCAGACTATTGTAGGGCAGGGCGCGAAATAATGGCCGGTCAACGGACAATGTCCGGCCAGAATGCGGAGTTGTCCGGTCAAATTCTTACCTTGCCGGTCATTTTGACTGGTCACTTTCGGTAAAAGAACAAACTAATCTTCATTTTATAATAATAATCAAAATAAAGTGGTCAAATACAGTGTTATAATTATGAACCATAACATGCATGTTGTCGAATATATTGCAGGAAAACAACTTCAATGTACACCAGTTTTCACACACACTATGTCACAAAGCCCATGGGCCATGGCCATGCCTTTGGCTTAAGAGCTAAGACCATGCTTTTAGCCCAGTACAAGCTGTTTTACAGTATGTGAAGGAATTTTTAATTACAGTAAGGCTTTTTGTATACTGCTATAGTGGGAAAATGGTCACATTTTTAGGGGTATACTTTACTAGGCTTTGCTTTAAGCTGACCGGCCAGAAATTCGGTATGTCCGAGCTAAGATTGAGTTGGCCGGTCACCTTGACCGCCGACCCTCCAGCTGTTATTTTGCGCCCTGCAGGGTAAAATTGCTACGGCCCTTTCTGGGATGTTTTTAATCCCTGTTGATTAGAAATCTAATGGCTACGTCACTGAGCTTGCAACAGTGAAATTTTGCAGGATAACGTACACCTTTTCTGTCTGCCATTGCTACATGTGTGCATGCCCTATAAAAACTCTACTGCGATAATTTACGTTCAATTCACTTTTATATTCTACTATTTTAACCCATTAAATTACATTTCTTCCTAAGGCACCCTACTTTATTATTTGCTTTGTCTAATGCCAGGTGATTTTACTTGTCAAGGGGAGAGTGCTGGGCACAGGGGCATAATTTGTGTCTATATATTAGGGATTTGTAGATTTGTTTTGCCCGATGAAGGTGTGCAGTCAGGAAATAACGTAAAGATACTGGTAGAAATTTAAAAGTTGATGTGGGGTCCTCATTTTTCGCAACTATTTCTGATTAGGTCTTAAACAATGTGTATAATTTACACCCAAATTTTCCATCTTTAAAAACCCTTTCAGCATCAAATTATTAAGTCTGTACATGGGCTAGGTGATATGTTCTCCTTTGGCAAAGGGAATCATGTCACATTGGAAAAAGTACACAATTTTGGGTCTACTGCTGTGCCCAGTTTACAATATAGGATAAAACTTAATGAGATATTGTGTGGATGGACACAATTTAGTGGTGTGAATTAAGTGCAAACATTCAATTATGTGGAATAGTTTAATTGTTTTATAATATAGTGTAACAGCCATTAACGTTCAATAATTAATTCTTCTCTGTGACACTGCTGCGACAATTTGGTCTTGAAAATTCGAAATGTTTTTGTTTTACAACTTGAAGTGAAAGGAATGGTTTTAGAACCGGTATATCCAGTAGAAAACCCCGGATATATTATACAGATGACATGTTTTGGTAGTATATGAAGTGCTTGTTGACTGTAAATTCATTTTCTGAACAATTTATATTCTCAATGAACATGTTTTGTTCACTGTGGTTTCGGTATTAATTCTTTAACTAGAAAATACATGCATGCAGAAACCCTCGCCTTGCAGCCCTTGCTGACAAAACCATTGTATTTTCCGAACATGAAGTATCTAAAGTAGTTGCCATGGTAACACGATAATTTTTTAAGAATATTCTTACAAATGAAAAATCGCTTAAAAATATCACTTTTAATTACAAAATTATCAATTTCCCAACAAATATATGTCAGGTATGATATTATACGTAATATAAGCTTCAATTTAAGGTAAATTCAACCACAAACGCTTCGCAAAACGTTTTAAAGTGTTCTTTATAAAACTAAACTGCCTTTATTCTTTAATTAAATGGCTTTATCGATAAACTTTGAGTTTGCAATAAAATCATCAAATCAATCAATTCTAGCATGCAAATAACTTTGCTCTCTTTTTTATTTAAAAAAATTCAATATAATAAAAAAGGGAATCAGTATTAAAGATACACTGAAATGGGGCCCGATATGCTGTCTTATTTAGTTGTTTCATATACGCAAAGGCTGTCGGGTTTTAAAGCAATTATAAAATAAATATTTAAAACAAACTTACCTTCGTTAACGTCTGCTCCCTTCTTTTAGCCGATTCTTTCGCCATTTCTTTCTTGAAATTTACAAAGTCTTGCAAAAATGCGAGCAAAAATTAAATATATTTGCAAGAAATTTATCGATCAATCATCAAATAAAGAAATGTTTGCTATTTCGCTGTCGTCATGCAGTCGTTATAATGCAAACTTTAAATTGGACCAATCACAGTGTTTGCTATTCATGACAGTCCGCCATATCCTTGAGATCAGTGAGGATGACCACCCACGGTTGGTGACCCACGTCCGCGATATTTGATGACTTCGCTAATGCTTTCGTTTCCCCGGGTGTAAATAGCCGGGGGGAATTAGTACCCTCGCACGGCGCTTCGCGCCGTCGGCTCGGGGAAAAACATGTATTTAAACTAATTTCTATGTAATAAATTGTTTTTCTCGTGCTATTATTCAACGAACATTTGGCATTAAATGGGAAAATTAAGTTGTTGTTTAATGTTTACCAATATATTACTATTTATATGTTGTTTTACTATATATTACTATGTTGTTTACTATTAACAGTGTTGTAAAAAGGTTTTTAATTTAAAAGAGATAAATTCTAAAATTACACTGAAATACTTTCTCCTGCTTCCACTTAAATATGGAATTTCCTTAAAAATTTCTTGCCGGAGCTGGACCCGGAGCCGGCGTTTTGACTGCCGGAGCAAAAATAACCGGAGTTTGCACAGCTCTATATTAAATGAGCAAAAAAATGTTCATCCTTTATAAAGCCTTTGTATGGAAAATTTTATCCTACTTGACTGTTAGTCTCACCTAGCCACTCACCTAGCTACTGCTATTTGTGTCATTAATCTTCACTGTTAGTTAACCTTTAGGGGCCATTTGAAGCAATTTTTTTCAATTTTTGACTAGCATTTTTGCATGCACATACAATTAAAACAACATAGATGTCAAGTGTCCATGCTGCATGGAGATTCCAACTTTGGGACTTAATCTCCAGCTGAGCAGACAAAATCTCCAGCCAAACAGAAAATTCTGTACTAAGTCCTTAAAAAATCCATGTCTTATTTTAAGGACTTAGTACAGAATTTTCAGCGCTTCTTTTTAAGAAATTGTCAGTTGGGCATCTACAGAAAATGACCAGACTATACTGAGTGCGGAGAGAAGATGACAGATGGTTGTTGGTTACACAAGGTTTGGTGTGGTGTCGTAGGGTCAAGCGGCATTCTTCCCCAGAAAATATTTGTAGTTTTCCACTTCCAAGACTGAATTTTGTGCCTTTTCTGAAACAGATTTTTGGATATACAGTGTTTTATTATACTGTAGACGGACTGGGTCTTCAGTTAAGTACTTGCGTGGTATGTTTATCTAAATACCACAACTCAGTCACTAACTTGTTTAGCCTAGCCTTCCAACAACTCAAATCTATAGGGGTCTGGGAAATGCTAACAACTGCAAACTTTTTAAAATCTAAGGTATTTACAACACAATGTTTAGCATTCTTAAAAAGACATTGCAATTGAATCGTTTGAAGATAAAAGTCATGACATAAGATTCATAAAGCAAGATTCAGATACTAGAATATCAGACCTCCCTTCCAAATTCAATTTCTCTTCCAATGATTTGCTTATATTTTAGAGAAAAGGGACCTTGACTGGGGGGGGGGGCTTTGTCCCCCCAGTAATATGGTTAAAAAAGGCTCTGAATTGGATATTGTATTCTGTTCAAAATAGTTCATATTTGTAACTATTATTATAAAATTTGTCATTGAAACATCATTCAAGTCTGTCATTACACGACTTCTCAGAATGCAGGGAATATTATCTCAGGGAACTCAGATTTCAAATATTCCCAGGGGGGAGCATGCCCCACCCCTTGCCTCTATAAATCTTTTTTTTGCTCGTTGGAGAAAATCTGCAGCCTTGATGGGATAATGAAATTAATATCTAATGAAATATGGTTACTTATTGACACCTTCGAGCTAAAAATTTGTAAAAAGTGAGAATTGAAACCTGATTACTTATACAGTAGTGACATATATATATATGTGGTTTTTCGCAACCGTGCATGGCCAAACTTCAACGACCTCAGGGCTGAACGATATAGTGTCTGATTAAATGTTGAACCCTTAAAGTGGAATTGGCTCCTAAGTTAACTATAAACTCACTACAAAAGTTTTTTTAAAAATTATGAAATATAATTATGCATGTTATATGTTATATAAACGTTTTGACATTTGTTAAGCAAAAACATAAAGTTTATGTCGCTCAAACATTCACAATTACAAATTTCAGAAATTTACAATTATATATTATATTAGCATATATTATAATTAATAAGTTTCGAATCATTATTTAAGTGTGTCATGTAAGTTTTTAGAAGACGTTTTGTTCACACTGCATGTACAAACATAGACAGTTACGTTCCCTTAAATAAAGGTGATGCTTTTCCCCATAACAACAGCAACTGGACCACTTGGATGGCACTTGATTTTGATAAATTCATCGTCAATTCTCTTACAGAAGAACGTCGAGGTCTCCAGATCACCTGCTTCAGTGTAGCACAGCAGGAAGTAAGAATCGTTTTTGTCGACATAGGTTAAAACAATTATTTTACGAATGACGTAGTGATACGCTACCCCGAAGATATCGTGACCTTCTGGTAGTTTTACTGTCGACTTCAGATTTCCTTCCTCGGAGAATGTGACCATAGCCTCGCGATTGCCTGATGATGTGATGATTTTATCCTGTTCGGAAATACCCAAGCTGGGAAGCCAACTTGAGTTATGTTCAAACTTGTGTTGCAACTTCCCAGTGTTGTCACATATATACACGTGGGGATCATTGCCTTTGATCATGATGATGATATTGGTTTTGTTTATAGCGATGCTCACCCCACAAAGCGCAGGAAAATTTGCATTGATAAAATCCAACTTGCATGAGTCGTGTTTTACATGGTAGTTCTCGTCGAGTACATACAACACGAAATTTTTCACTTTGCCATTTTCCGTACTTGTTTGAAGCAGTACAACAACGTAAACATTGTTATTGTTATCAACGGCAAGTCCTTCAACACGTTGCTCGATAACTTTACCTTTTTTGGGGTCTGGTAATTTAACCACCTTGCATTCACCTGTTTTGGAAGAAATAACCTGGATCTTGCCAGGATATTTTCGAGTAATAACGTCCCCATGACCGTTCACAGTGCATTGATGCGGATAAATTTCTCGATCAAGTATCAGTCCGTTGGGATGTTGGGTCAGTTCTTTCCCCATAGACTTTCTTGTCGCAACTTCCTGCCAATCTAATATTGGGGAAAAACTGCGATCGGGAAGTTCAATTGTTGGCATGCTGAGGAGCAATTCAAATGAATATTTACTGCTGAATTTCGACACATATTGAAATAACACGTAATTAATCAACATTACTGATTTTACGTTCTCGACTCGTTCGCTCTTATTCAACATCGACTTTATTCCTCCGTCGAGGTACACAGAGAATATCTCTTGGATTGCAGGTAAGCTATGGAACTTTTTCAAAAATGACAAACATCCTGTTACTGCTGTTTCGGGACGATCAAGACATTCCAGTATCTCGGACACTATTCGTAGCTTCGCTGCGAAGATCCTGTCTTTGAGAACTAATGTTTCAGTAGAGAAAGCATCGGTTGCTTTCTTACGGGCATCTTCGAATCGTTTTTTAGCGGATTCATACTCGTCGTCTGAGCTACATTTTAGCTTTCCCATGGCTTGAGAAAGTTCAATAGCTTCGCTTAAGATCCCAGACTGACCACAACTCGGCATTGTTGATGTCTCACCTCGATCATCTTGAGTTTCATTCGTCAAAGTTTTCTGGTCGAGCTTTGATTTTCGAAGAGAAACATTGAGGAAATCCACACCTTCCTGTAGGAAATTGTAGCTGCTGAGCAGATCTTTACGTGAAAGACCATCGAGCTTCATCTTGATGTCGTTCAACTCTCGTACGACAATCTCGCGAACTTTTGCGTCTGTAACATCGCCGTCCTTCAGCTTAGCCGCAGTCGAGTCGCGAGCCTTGTTCCACAACAAACCCACGGTTGAACTTAGAATACTCGTCACGATTGAAGACATAGTGAACTATTCTCAAACAACAAAGCGATACTGAACTTAAACTAAATAGACAATATGCCCAAGCACTTTTACTCACGAAAGATAACCAGCTATACTGTGAAATTTCCAAGTATTATGAATATATAGTGTATATGATGTAATACCTATGGTATGTTCTTCCTGTCACTTGACAAAGTGGAAATTTGTTCCATTCTAGGGGGCCCGTTAATGGCCATTTCCTGCGATTTGAAGGCGAAATTTATCCAAAGAGTCCAACAAAAAATTGTGTGATAGGGGGAAATTTTTAATACTTTTTGTAGAAAAATTTTTGAAACCTTATGAAATTCGTATTTCCATGAATTTTAATCGTACTTCAGTATATATTTCAATTGAAATGAAAATCTAGCTCAATATAGTCAATATTGGCAAACGAAAGAGGAAAATAATTCAAAATATTATCATGTATACATGCACATTTCAAGTATCATGAATATATAGTGACTGTATGAATATAATGTCTATAGTATGTTTTTCCTGTCACTTGATAAGCCCCGCCACTGGACTAGCCCTGCCCAACACACAGTCAATATTGAAAGAGGGAAATATTATGACGAAAAAACCTCATATTTTTACAAAATACAAAACAACGGTATGTAACTCCGAAAAGGAACATTTTTGGTTCTTGTTTTGGACTATGTTTTAGTCATGTACACATAATTTAGTGGTCTGTATCAAGTGAAAATAGACATTTATACCTATGGCTTGATGTTAAATCTTTGCTTTCATTTGCCATAATTCTCATTTAACATAAAAAACGCACTTCGTGTATAGCCAATGCTATTTTTGTCATTAATTCTCACTGTTAACTTTTGGGGGCGATTTGTTAACCTTTATGAGCTGGAATTCAGTCATTGCGTGTCATCTATCAGCAAAAATATAAGCAACAGAGGAAAGCAGTTTCAATCTTGGAGCAGCAAACAACGGACAATGTAGAATATTGTTAATACTTTCAATTTCAAAGCCACAAAAACATTACGGAGATGGTTTACACCAAATTTTAAAAAGATAATAATTAAGGGCACAAACGTTTAAACGTAAACGTGTATATGAATGATATAGAAGAATATCTATCTAGAGAAAAGTTAAGGAACATGTAATGCTGTGCATGAACATCAAAAATACTAAACAAGGCTTTTTAAAATAAAACAAGACGCCTGCTCAGGCGTTCACATGCACTGGCCTGAAAATGGCAACTTTCGTAGTACTGGGTGTAATGTGTAGTAGAGAAGTAGATAGGGATACTGGATCATATAAATGCAACCAATAAATACAATCATGATCAGCAACTATCAACCATAATATACCAAGACGCCGGCTTAGACGTACCCTCCGGCTACGGGCAACTCAACCTGACAAGCCAGGCCCACTGTAATACTATGATCATCAACTATAATAGCGATGCAATAATAGCGAAGAAATTATAGTCCATGATTTTTAATGCCGTTATATGGCTAGTTTCAGGTGCTAAAAAGTTCATAGACGTAGACGATTCTTCTAAAAAATACGACTATTTGTTTCCACTTGTAAGATAAACTGATCCCAACCCAAAGCCCTTCTCTAACCCCAACCAGTAAACATCTAATAATTCGCCGCACGCAACGCCATCTCGCTGAATACATTCGAAAACATACATTTTATAGTAATATATGATGAATTAGAATGTAATTTGGCGCAAATTAATGTAATTAGGTGCAAATTTATAATTATGCAAATAAATACAAGAGCACAACGCATGTTTATGAGCCTACGTACAACGTATATTTAACTTGTTAATTAAAAAGTGAAACTGTCAAACCTTTAACTTGTCCTTGTTTATATGCCACTATATTGTATAAATTCGCTGGGTCCAAATTTTGGGGTTTTCGAGTCGTTACACAAAGAAAAACACACTAATTCAACACGCAAGAAAGGCCAGAGTGCGACACAACGTAAAATCCATAGGAAACCGGCACAATTCTTTGAAAATTCAACGAAACTGTGTGAAATATATATTAGATCGCTCAGTGAAAAGCCGCCATTTTGAAACTGAACTGAATATGTCACTGGAGCACGTTGCACCCTGAGCCTGCGATGACCTAACGCAAACTCCATTTCTCGTCGAAAACAGAAAACAGAAAAAGAGGGATTTAAGACACTTGGCCTACAGGCCAGTGTAACAACTGAATCAAGGGAATGCATACAGATGCATATGTCAATATATATCATTCCACAACATAGTATAGATGTAGGGCAAAAAGATCTTCTGCATGCACAGATAATTTAGTGGTCAGTATCAATTGCAAACAGACATTTACCTATGGCTTGATGTTAAATCTTTGCTCTCTGATGTTTGCTCTCTGATGTTTGCTCTCTGATGTTTGCTCTCTTGAATTTATTAAAAGGGCGCCATGATGGCTGCCACGGTGTTTTGGCTCTGTCTTATTGCATGCAATTTTACTGTCTTTTTTACCTTGAATCTTCAAGATATTTATAACAATATAAATGAAAAGTCATCCAGTAAAGATCTGGTGACTACATCTATAACAATATAAGCTCGTTTTCAACTGATTTTCTGGTATATTTCTACACGCCTCGTTCGAAGTCAATGAAATGGAACCTCGCACGCAGTGGTTTTATCTGTTGCTATTGCATAGCTTTTGCTGCTATTACAAAGTGGTCAAAGCATGGAATAATCAACCTTTTGATCCCAGGACATGACCCTCCCGTAGATATAACGATTTACGTGGATATTTGTCGAAATCCTGGCCCTGTACACTCGGGTTTGGAGTCGAATATATCTCCAGGTCAAAGTCAAAATAGCGGAACATTTATGCAAATTGCAGTTGTTGACAAAATAACTTACAATCGCAGCAAGTTACTTGATATCCGCCGTCAGTGTATTACACGAGCCAACCGCCATTTATTATCAACACTTAAAGATCTGGTTTTGGTTCGTTATATAGAGGTCCATCCCGGTCAGGTGGGATAAAACCTTCATATGGAAAATTTTATCCCACTTGACTGAGTTCACACCTAGTGCAAGGTGATATCTCGCCTAGCTACTGCTATTTGTGTCATTAATCTTCACTGCTAGTTGACCTTCAGGGGCTATTTGAAGACATTTTTTCAACTGGCAACTGGCATTTTTGCATGCACATGCAATGAAAACAACATAGATGTTAAATGTCCAGCTTTTAGCCGCATAGTGACTCCAAGTTTGGGACTTAATCTCCACCTGAGCAGACAACATCTCCAGCCAAACAGGAAATTCTTTACTAAGTTCTTAAAGGACATTGGCAATAAAAAATTAGTTTGTCTCATTATATTATATTTGTCTCATTACATTAAATTATATATTAAACTCTATTACCGATTTGTCATATCTTGCTTAGTTTTCGAAATATTTAGACCGAAATTAATGAGCTTTCCGCCATCTTGGAAAAATTCTTTACCTCATTAACTATGGTTTTGATGACGTCAGGAGTTGGGTTAACCATACAAAACTACTCTAAAATGATCGAATAACAATCCAAAATTGTTTGAAATGTTTTTAATCATTTCTAAATTTCTGACAGCAACCAGAAACGATGTTTTGGACCCATATTGAGCGCTTACTCTCAAGATAAAAAATTAGCGTGAGCCCTCTCTTGACGTAACATGCATATCCTCAATAATCCAAGATGGCGAACAGCTCACTTTTTTCAGTCGAAATATTTTGAAAACTAAGCAAGATATAAACAATCTGTGATATAGTTTAATATATAGTTTTAAGAGTTCTTTCAAATGAACTAAACTAATTTTTTATTGCCAATGTCCTTTAAAATAAGACATGGATACCAGGGCCTTTTTTAAGAAATTGTCAGTGTTGGGGGGGGGGGGCATCTACAGAAAGGGATCAGACTATACTGAGTGTGGAGAGATGACAGATGGTTGTTTGTAGCAAAAATTTCGTGTGGTCTCGTATGTAATAGTAGGCGAGTCTACTCTCCCCCAGAAAATTTTCGTATTTTTCCATTCCTAGTGCTGCATTTCTTGCCTTTTCTGAAACAGATTATTGGATATACAGTGTTCTATATTATACCGTAGATAGACTGAATCTTCAGTTAAGTACTTGCATGGTATGTTTATGTATATAAATACCATAACTCAGTCACTAACTTGTTTAGCCTAGCCTATAGCCATATCCCAAACCCTATAGATTTGAGTTGTTATCAACTGGGAACTTTTTGAAACCTAGGTATTTACAACACAATTTTTAGCATTTTTAAAAAGACATTGAATCATTAAAAGATAAAAGACATGACATAAGATTTACAAAGCAAGTTTCAGGTGCTAGAATATCAAACCTCCCTTCTAAATTCCATTTTCTTCCATTGGTTTGCTTAAATTTTAGGGAAAAGAGACCGGGGAGGGGCTTGACTGGGGACATAGACTGGGGAGGGGGCTTTATCGCACCCAGTAATATAGTTAAAAGAGGCCCTGATGGACATTGTATTCTGTTCAAAATAGTACATATTTGCAACCATTATCATAAAATTTGTCATTGAAACATCAGTAAAATGTGTCATTACATGACTTCTCAGAATGCAGGGAAAATTATCTCAGAGAACTCAGATTTCAAAAATTCTCAGCGGGGCATGCCTCTGGACCCTGCATCTATAAAGTTTTTCTCTCTGCTCGTTGGAGAAAATGTGCAGCCTTAATGGGATAATGAAATTAATATCTAATGAAATGTGGTTACTAATTGACACCTTCAAGCTAAAAATTTATGAAAAGTGAGAATTGAAATCTGATTACTTATAGTAGTGACATAGATGTGGTTTTTCGCAAGCGTGGCCAAACTTCAACGACCTCAGGGCTGAAGGATATCTGATTAAATTTTGAACCCTTAAAGTGGCATTGGCTCCTAAGTTAATAAACTCACTACAAAAGTTTTTTAAAAAATTATGTTATATAATTATGCATGTTATATGTTATATAAACGTTTTGACATTTGTTAAGCAAAAACATAAAGTTTATGTCGCTCAAACGTTCACAATTACAAATTTCAGAAATTTATTACAATTAGCATATATTATAGTTAATAAGTTTAGAATCATTACTTAAGTGTGTCATGTAAGTTTTTAGAAGACGTTTTGTTCACACTGCATGTACAAACATAGACAGTTCCCTTAAATAAAGGTGATGCTATTCGTCGTAACCACAGCAACTGGACCACTTGGATGGGACGTGATTTTGATAATTTCATCGTCAATTCTCTTACAGAAGAACGTCGAGGTCTTGTCGACATAGGTTAAAACGATTATTTTACGAATAACATAGTGATGCGCTACTCCATAGATCTCGTGATCTTCTGGTAGTTGTACTGTCGACTTCAGATTTCCTTCCTCAGAGAATGTGTGCATAGCCTCGCGATTGCCTGATGATGTGATGATTTTATCCTGCTCGGAAATACCCAAGCTGGGTACCACACTTGGGTTATGTTCAAACTTGTGTTGCAACTTCCCAGTGTTGTCACATATATACACGTGGGGATTATTGCCTTTGATCATGATGATATTATTGTTTTTGTTTATAGCGATGCTCACCAAACAAAAAATAGTAGCATTTGCCTCCATAAAATCCAAGCTGTATGAGTCGTGTTTTACATGGTAGTTCTCGTCTAATACATACAACACGAAATTTTTTACATCGCCATTTTCCGTACGTGTTGTATGCCGTACAACAACGTAAACATTGTTATTGTTATCAACAGCAAATCCTGCAACACGTTGCTCGATAACTTCACCTTCTCTAGGGTCTGGTAATTTAACTACCTTGCATTCACCTGTCTTATAAGAAATAACCTGGATCTGGTCAAGATATTTTCGAGTAAGAACGTCCCCATGACCGTTCACAGCACATACATACGGAAAAATTTCTTCATCAAGTATCAGTCCGTTAGGATGTTGGGTTAGTTCTTTCCCCATAGACTTTCTTGTTGCAATCTCCTGCCAATGTAACATTGGGGAAAAACTGCGACTAGGTAGTTCAATTGTTGGCATGCTGACGAGCAAGTCAGATGAATACTTGAATTTCGACGCATATTGAAATAACACATGGTTAATCAACATCACTGATTTTACGTTCTCGACTCGTTCGCTCTTATTCAGCATCGACTTTATTCCTCCGCTGAGGTACAGTACACGGAGAATATCTCTTGGATTGCAGGTAAGCTATGGAACTTTTTCAAAAACGACAAACATCCTGTTACTGCGGTTTCGGGACGATCAAGACATTTCAACATCTCAGACACTATTCGTAGCTTCGCGGCGAAGATCATATCTTTGAGAACTAATGATTCAGTAGAGAAAGCATCGGTTGCTCTCTTACGGGCATCTTCGAATCGTTTTTTAGCGGATTCGTACTCGTCATCTGAGCTGCATTTTAGCTTTCCCATGGCTTGAGAAAGTTTAATAGCTTCGCTTAAGATCCCAGACTGACCACAACTCGGCATTGTTGATGTCTCGCCTCGATCATCGTGAGTTTCATTTGTCAAAGCTTTCTGGTCGAGGTTTGATTTTTGAAGAGAAACATTGAGGAAATCCACACCTTCCTGTAGGAAATTGTAGCTGCTGAGAAGATCTTTACGTGAAAGACCATCGAGCTTTGTCTTGATGTCGTTCAACTCTCGTACGACAATCTCTCGAATTTTTGCGTCTGTAACATCGCCGTCCTTCAGCTTAGCCGCAGTAGAGTCGCGAGCCTTGTTCCACAACAAACCCACGGTTGAACTTAGAATACTCGTCACGATTGAAGACATGGTGAACTGCTATTCTCAAACAACAAAGCGATACTGAACTTAAACTAAATAGACAATATGCCCAAGCACATGCATTTACTCACGAAAGATAACCAGCTATAATGTGAAATTTCCAAGTATTATGAATATATATAGTCTATATGATGTAATTACCTATATGGTGTGTTTTTCCTTTCATTTGACAGGAACTTAATCATTAAGTTAGCGGGATATAGAAAATGTTTGGATATTTTTAGTTCTTGGTTATTTGTTTGAAAGAACGTTTGTCTTATCGAACTTTCTGGTCTATTATAATATTTATGGTATGTTCTTTCTGCCACTTGACAGTAACTTGTTCATGTATTTACTAGGCGGGATATCGAAAATGTTTGGATATTTTTAGTTCTTTGTTACTTGGTTTGAAAGAACTTTTGTGTTATCGAACTTTCTCGTCCATGGTCTGCATAATGTCTATGGTCTTCATTAATCTCTGTGGTCTACAGTACAGGGACTAACACCTATATATTTATATATTTTCTCGACTAACACCTATATATTATTCTTAAATGTGCATATTCGCCGTACTTTTGAAATAGCAGAAAACGAAGAAACGTATGTTTTTTGGGGAATGTTATTTTTGGATACAAATAATTTCTTGCTAATATGAAAGTGGTTCTGATGTTACTGTGAGTATATCCACACCGGGCAAGCTGAAAAGTTGGCCCGACCACCGTGGGAATTGAACCAACTGAGCTATACGAGGTCAAGTCGGTTCGAGTGTGTGGTATTTCGGAACTAAGTCTAGTACCTTTGATACCAATGTGTTCTTATGATCATGATATTCGGGTTCGATTCCCACCGTGGTCAGGCAAACTTTTCAGCCTGCCCGGTGTGGATATACACTCAGAGTAACATCAAAAGCATTATGTTCACCTGAGTACATAACATCAAAACACACACCAAAAATATCATAATATGAAGATGTTGAATTGAGTGCGTAAATGAATCGGGATTGTGAGCATCGACGTTCTATATGACTGATTATGCAAGGGTTTTGTAAATGGAAATTTTGGTTGTGAATTTTATACATTAGCAGAAGTTGGGAAAAGTGCAACATATAGAGGGCCTACATATAGATACATTTTTCGCAACTGCTCCTGTCTAGGTCTATCGTGTCATTTTTGATCAATCAACCCTTGGCGCAACCCTTGATTGTCAATATAACCAACCCCTGGAGGCTGTTAATACCATCAAGCTCCTGGGGATAAATTTGACCTCCGATCTTAAGTGGACTACACACATCAGGCACATATCCTCCAAAGCAAGCAAACGTCTGTACGCTTTAAGGATATTAAGAAGAAATGGTGTCCAACCGAGTGATCTTAGGACAGTATATTGTAGTTTTATCAGACCTGTCTTGGAATATGCGTGTCCAGTCTGGCATACCTTGTTACCAAAGTTCCTGACTGACGAATTAGAGCACATTCAGAGACGTGCGTTCAAAATTATTGTTCCCCACTTGTCCTATACTCCGAAAGCCTCAAAGACCTAAAGTTGCCCACTCTCGAGAAGAGAAGGGAACAAAAACAATTATAGTGACACTTCGAGCAAAGTTTTTAATCTATTACCTGAACCTTTAGATCGTCGGTGCAATCTTAGACATTCCCGATCTATCTCACTTTTTAAAACCCGAACTATACGCTATAATGATAGTCTTTTGCCATATTGCGTACGCAGATGGAACTCTTTTTAACCTTTTAGGCTTCTATAGATTAATATATCATTTGTAAATTAGCAATCCTACGTTATTGTAAATAGTATTACCACTGTATCTATAATCTGTGTATACGTATTTTGTTCAACTATTTTTAAACTATGTAAACTTGTGTTTTTCAGTTCGATTTTGAACTGCCATTCAACTATTTTTTAATAAATCTAAATCTAATCTAATCTAATAGAATGTATAAAATTCACTCTTGAAATCTACATCTATACAGAACCCTTGAATTGAGTGGGCGTATAATCGGAAGTTGTCTATAGTGTGCCCCTTTGGAAGCGGCTGTGTTTTTGCAAGCGGCTGTGTTTTAAAGTTGTTGTGTGTTAAATGATAATTCGAAATCCCCAAAACTTGATAAAATAGCCTCCCTCCCCCCTCTCTCCCCAAAATAACCCGAAAATGGCACTCAACACACTCTAGATTTCAAAGATTTACAGTACATACAATACTAACAAACCGTCACAAATGCAAAACAAGGAAAGACTGGGTTATTATCGTTGTAAAAACCTCTGACTTTATACAGAGGACTTGATACAGGATTGTACAATATGAAGCTGTCGAGTCTCAGTCTCGCGTGTTCGCGATTTTGGAAAAAAATCAGTGATCTTCGACTGTCTTGCTCTGCGTTCCAACCCTGCATGGTTCTAATCAATCGCTTTGAGCGTGGGAGATATTGCTCTTGAAAGGGAATTTGCCGTGTCGGTGTTCACAGGCGTTTTGAACTAATTTAAAATTTTGTCTAAATTTAGCGCGAGTGGCCGAATTAACGGGATGAAATTATATAGGGTTATACTGTTTAGGATTTCAAAATGTGGCCGTTGCGCCCGTTGGCCGTATGAACGGGTGACCGCACTAACGGGGTATTTTCTTAAGAAAATGCATGCCCGTTTTGCCCGGCATTGAGATGACTAGCCTTCCGAGAGAGACGTTTCTCTTTGTATGAAAATATTGTCTGTTGTTTTTTTAGATTCACAGTCTTCCAAAAGATATCAAAGAGGTAATTTGTAAAAACAACCAATAAAAGAAAAACACACAGTAAAAGTTTCAAATATAATTCATTGGATTAAAGTATAGAAAACAAACTCCGAATTCCATCATGAAACTGAACATTTAAGTCGAGCAAGAGGACACTATGTTCAACAGTGATATTTCGAATTTATTGCAAATTCGTCATCAGACTAATTTACAAAAGCTAAAGCTGGTTTTCCATTAGGCGGAATTTTGCGCGTGGAACGGAATTCTTCTTTGTCTTTTCTAATTAGTTCCACCTAAGAAATCACGAGACAAAGAAAAATTCCGCTCCGCGCCAATGGAAAACCGGCTTTACGTAGGTCACAGAATAAAGATCCATACAGAAGGGCCACTTACGTCGGAAGCTTTGAAGTTTCTGTCCTTGCGCATGTCGCATTACGCATGTTGCCCGCCATTTTCCTAGCCAGTCGATGACATTTTCTGACCAATAAATACGCTGTACTGGCTGGCTGCTCCGCCTTCTGGCCAGTAAACTGCATATTTTTGCATTAAAAACGAGGACACGTTGCACCGCTGAGTGGCCCTTCTGTTACTGATCTTTATTCTGTGCCCAGGTCTATATATGTGCAGGCGTGATTACGTCGTAAACAGGAAGAAAGCGTTGGCGCGGAAGTGTTAGTGCAATTAGCCATTCTGAAGTTAATTTTGAAGAGGACTGGGGACGAGTGTTAAAAATGCCCAAATTAAGAAATGAACCAAATCACTAAAAAGACCACCTCAAAATTAGTAATAATACAAAGTTTGAAGACGTTTACATGAATACCCTTCGAATAATAAGCTTTCGAAAATCGCGATATTTACTATGATATGTACTGTAATTTTTGTTTTTGCGGACGCGCGTCCCAAAAACAATCTTTTTAATCAGTAATTTCACAATTTTCGAAAGCTTATTATTCCAAGGGTATTCATGTAAAAGTCTTCAAACTTTGTATGCTTACTAATTTTGAGGTGGTCTTTTTAGTGATGTGGTTCATTTCTTAATTTGGGCACTTTTTAACACTCGTCCCCAGTCCACTCATCAACTTCGGAATGGCTAATTGAGAGTTTACACTTTTGTAGCGATCTTTTTGGCGAAAGAAAATTAGATTATTCAGTAATCGTCTGTTTAAACTATTTGATAAATGGCATTCTAGGACTATGTATTTAATTTGTTGTAACATGTATTCTGCCTTTTTCTTGTTGTAGTTAAAACAATTAACGGAGTTGTTTGTTTATGGTAATAAGCTTGCATCGCTTCCGACAGAAATTGGAACTTTAAGCAATCTAAACACATTGGCTCTTAATGAGAATAGTTTGACAGCTTTGCCAGGTAAGGGCGGTTTGAATTTTGTCTTCTATTTAACCACGTTTTTGGGCTTGCTACTAGTTGTACGGCATCAAGACAACAAGAGCAATGTAACAGCAACAACAACAACAACATCGATAGCAACATTATAGCAACAACAACAACAACAACAACAACAACAACAACAGCAATGTTACAACAACAGCAACAGCTGGCAACATTACAGCAACAACAACAGCAGCTGTGATAGCAACAACAACAACAACGTCGATAGCAACGTTATAGCAACAACAACAGCAATGTTACAACAACAGCAACAGCTGGCAACATTACAGCAACAACAACAGCAGCTGTGATAGCAACAACAACAACAACAACAACAACAACAACAACAACAACAACAACAACAACAACAACAACAACGTCGATAGCAACATTATAGCAACAACAACAGCAATGTTACAACAACAGCAACAGCTGCCAACGTTACAGCAACAACAACAGCAATTGTGATAGCAACAACAACAACAACAAAACAACAATAACAACAACAGTGGCAAGAAAAACAACAACAGCAACGATAGTAACATTACAATTTTTCCTAAAGTATTAATTTGTCTCGTCAATAAAATCCAACTGTGATAAAACCTCGAGTGTTTATGTATTTTTCAGACAACCTTATCAACTTGTCCAACCTAAAAGTTCTGGACTTGCGACATAATAAACTAAAAGAGGTGTGTAGAGAATGGATTAGGCTCAGATCAAACGAGTCTATGAGAGTGCATGAGAGTTGACAGTCACGCGATCTTGGTTAGCTGTTCTTAATGTTTTCCCAACACTATCATGTATTCTGTTTAAGTTAAAACATAGTTGGAACAGTTATCAAACCTTTATTTTGTTAATCTAGAGCTTGAAGTGTCCCCCGTAACAATGCGTGACTACCAATTCGAGGGCTTAAAGTGCGACTAACCTGCACAAATATGATATTTTGTATGTGTATAATTTAGGTCATTCGAAGAAGTAATGTAATATATCTTTATAATAAAAAATCCCATCTTGATCAACGTTCCCACCGTCAAAGTTTCCTGATATGATGTCATTAGGTGAATGGACCTATTCCTTAATGAACAAAATTTTGATCTAGACAAGTCTAGACAGACATTTCACCACAGCTTGAAAGAGCATCACAAAATTAGTAATATTCCAAAGTTTCGTTGCGAAATGTTGTAAAATGTGCATAATACATACCTGTAGATTTTATTTTTGTGGAGGTAGCCAATTTTTAAATGGAGCTAGACTATGCCACATTCACGTACCCAGAGCCCGCCTTATACACACGATCATCAACAGAGCATGACAAGGACGCGGTGTACGAGAATGGGTTTGCCTCAACAGTCAACTGCAGATCAAAATTTAGCCTCTGAACGAGAGCAAAATGCCAAGTGTGTCAATGTCCTGTTTATGTGCATATTCTGGATATTTCAGTCTTATTTAATACAGCGGAATATAGAAGTGCATTCTGAGAGTTCTTGCAGTTATTCCAGTTAGTCAGTAACTCCTGGCTTAGATAACAAGCTCCAAATGATTTTTGGAGTTAGCAACACAGCAAGTAACTTCAACCTTACATGTATGTACCTAGCGGCTATATGCTGACTCGCCTCGCTATACACATACTTTTTGGAGTTAGGCAGTAACTCGAGGCTTAAATACCTTGTTTTTTCATGATTTTTGGAGTTATATGTAGCTCTAAATGATTATTGGAGTAAGCCAGTAACTCCAGCCTTAGATGCCTAGCTCCTAAATGATTTTTGCAGTTGTATACTTATATAGCTCCAAATCATTTTTGGAGTTAGCCAGTAACTCCAGAATTCATATTTCAACTCTTGAATTACACATTTACACAAGTTACTCAAGTGTATATTTTGGTTTGGAGTTAGCCCTTTAGAGCTTGGAGGTAGCGTCGCTCCATAACTTCCTACTTTCTACAGGCATGGCATAATATAGCCCTTCGAAGTTTGCCGTTTTTCAGTCATTTTGTATTACGCGCGGGAAATTGATACCGCGTTCTGAAAAAAGGTATCAATTTCCCGTTCGTAATACAAAATGACTGAAAAACGGCAAATTTCGCAGGGCTATATTATCCGCATTTTACAACATTTTGCAACGAAACTTCGGAATATTACTAATTTTGTGATGCTCTTTCAAGCTGTGATAAAATTTTTGTCTACACTTGTTTATATCAAAATTTTGTTCATTAGGGAATAGGTCCATTGCAAATTAGTTTTCCTTGTTTTTTTTTGTACCAAAAATTCACCAAATGACATCATATACGGACACCTTGACCGTGAAAAAGTTGATTAAGATGAGATTTTTTACTACAAAGATATATTACAATTCTTCTTAGAATGACCCAAATAATACAAATACCACAAATTATATATATACTTGGGGTTAGTTGCACTTTAAGGAATTAACTAATTCTATTGTGTTCGTGAAACTCGTTAATGATTCACGAAGAAAACACAAAAGAAATCATGAGCGTGAAGGAGTTTGTATATCTGATACAAAATCATGCTGATTTACATAAACTTCAAAGGACATTTGGCAATTAAAAATTAGTTTGTCTCATTCAAAAGAATTCTTAAAGTTACACATTAAACTCTATTACCGATTTGTTATATCTTGCTTAGTTCTCGAAATATTTAGACTGAAATTAATAAGCTGTCCGCCATCTTGGACTAATTCTTGACCTCATTAACTATGGTTTTGATCACGTCAGGAATTGGGTTAACCATATAAAACTGCTCTAACATGACCGAGTAACAATCCAAATTTTTTTGAAATCATTTATAAATTTCAGACAGCAATCAGAAACGAAGTTTTGGATCATCGACCTTATTAATGGGTCAGGCTAATTACTCTCAAGATAAAAAAATTAGCGTGACTCCTTTCGTGACGTAACATGCATATCCTCAATAATCCAAGATGGCGAACAGCTCACTTTTTTCAGTCGAAATATTTTGAAAACTAAGCAAGATATAAACAATCTGTAATAAAGTTTAATATATAGTTTTAAGAGTTCTTTCAGATTTTTTATTGTCAATGTCATTTAAGTTAATTTTCTCACCAAATACATATAAAGCATTCGTATCCGTGTTGTATCATACATACAACTTCTCGCCAAGTTTGTATATCTGATACAACACGCGGCCGCTCATTCTTTATCTATTACATAAAATGTGAAGTCTATTCTTAGCTAAATCTTGTCATTTTCAGTTCAGAAATAATATTCTTTCCTTATTTTAATAAGCATGCTATCTCGATCAAAGGCCTTTTCCGTTACGGTATAGCTTTAATTCCCCGCGCAGAACAAGCGAACATGCTTGACTATACGCCTTGTAGGTTCCCATGTTCACTGCCGTTCGGTTGCTTTGGGGCTTACAGACACAGCCATGAAATATATCAATCTTTTTCGTAGATTCCAAGTGTGGTGTACGAACTCACGTCATTGATAGTTCTTTATCTTCGCTTTAATCGCATTACGTATGTCGATCCAGCGATCTCAAATTTACGGGTGAGTGACAGTTTAGAGTAAAGTTTAGAATGAAACAACAAGGTCTTTTGGCATCATTGCCATTAAATCCTGGTTTCCATATGGTCGTAAAGATTGAGTCACGATCTTTCTCATCAGCCGAAATACAACAGTTTAGAACTGAAAATACACGGAGTGATTATAACTAGAAAATACTTATGATTTATATGTGATGTTTGTGATGTTACTCTGAGTGTGTATTCACACCGGGCAAGCTTGAATCGAAACTACGACCTTTGGAATACTAGCCCAATGCTCTGCCAACTGAGCTACGCGGTCAGGTCGGTTCGAGTATGTGATAATTTCGGAACAGAATCTAGTTCATTCGATATCAGTGCAATCTAGTAGTCATGATTTTTTCTGTGTTGGGCTAGTATTCCAAAGGTCGTAGGTTCGATTCCCACCGTGGCCAGGCATATTTTTCAAGCTTGCCCGGTGTGGATATACACTCAGAGTAACATCACAAGCATCGTATTCACCTGAATACATAACACCAACACAGAAAAAATCATGATTTATATGAGGTTTACAGTCATAAACTATTATAAACTGGACCATTACGACCATATGGAACATAGTGTGTCGTGAAGTGTTTGTTGTGAATGATTTTTATGCTTGTTTCGATATGGTTGTAACTGTCGTGACACTGTCGCAAGTTAATTTCGTACCCAGGGATCGTACAAGCAGCTGGCGGCTGTTTTGTTAAATCAAAGAAAAAAAACACGGTGCCTCCAAATTAATGGGAGCTTTGCCCCTCCCTGATTGTCGCAAAACTGTTGCCACGCTGTCATTTTTCTGTTTCCATTAAAACATAAACGTCACGACACGTTTTTAGCCTGTTGCAACTGTCGTCGAGATAAAACTCGAGTCTATCTCGACGACACTGTTGTATCTGTCGTGAACTGTTGTCAGCGTGTCGCGACAAGACTTTCTTCATGTTTCCATTTGGTCGCGAACACCACTCTGACGACAGTTACAACACGTTCGCGACAGTTACGACCATATGGAAACCAGACTTAAGAGCTACATCATATATGGATTATGGGCACAAGTCGTAAGCGTGCAAATCAATTAGTATAGGTAATAGCATAGTTTCGAGTGCAATTTGGATAAAACATGCACGTTTGCGGTCTTTGAAAAACTTACGAGTGTTTGTTTTATCCAAATTTCACGAGAAACAATCCTATTACGTATTAATAATATACATTAAAATGTTCGAGACAATTGTAGTTGTATATAACAAGGTTGTTGTCAAGCCGATCTCATGATCATGTGTTCGCACTGCTTGTTCCCAGTTGTTGTGACAAGTCTGAAACAAGTTGTTATCACCTTGTTACAAGGTTGATGACGGTAACAGACTTGCTACAAATTGTTTCAACAAGACTAATACAGGCTGTGTTCGTAACGGGTTGCTACGAGCTTGTTGTCATCGATTTGTTAACAACTTGTCACGTGCAGACGATATCAGACTTGTTGGAACAACTTGTTGCGAGTCTGTTGGCCTTATCAACCTTGTTACAAGATGATAACAACTTTATTATTATTATTATTATTATTATTAAATTGAAACCACATTGCAGCCAGAAGCTGAATTGCGTGGATTACATATTATCACATGCACTACATATAAATATATTATTAATACAATATTATAAAACCCACCCACGATCAAAATTCGATTAAAATAAGCATAAAAACTATCCTACAAACTTCCTACACATAGCAGGGATGAAAGAGTTATAAAAACGGTTCGTGCGTGTAACGTACATATTAAAATACCGATTCGTCCTGAAAGAATAATCAGTCTCGTTCTTCGGGGGCAGCAGATGATGAAGTTTATGCATTGGATCCTTGATGATACTCGTAAAGAGTTTGTCACACATGTCCTCTCTTCTTTGAAATAGAGTAGGCAGTCTATAATACTCAAGGGCCTCACAATATGTTTGTATTGTTCCAGACTTGTCAACAACTGGGAACAAGCAGTGCGAACACATCTTCTTGACAAGCTGTGAAATTTTTACGCTTGCATAGGGCGCGAAATAACGGCCAACTCAATTTTAGCTCGGACATACCAAATTTCTGGCCAGTCAAATTATTCAGCTTAAAGCAAAGTCTAGTAAAGTATACCCCTAAAAATGTGAGTAATGTGACTATTTTCCCAGTATAGCATTACAAAAAGCCTTACTGTAATCAGTAGCCTAATTAAAAACTCCTTCACATAAAACAGCTTGCACTGCGCTAAGCCAAAAGCATGGCCTTAACTCTTAAGCCAAAAGCATGAGGTCCATGCGCTTTGTGACGCACTGCGTGGGAAAGCTGCAGTACATTGAAGTTCTTTTTCCGCAAAACATTCGACAACATGTTATGGTTCTTATTATAATACTTGACAACTTTGTTTTGATTATTAATTCAATTTGTTCTTTTACCGAAAGTGGCCGATCAAAATGACCGGCAAGGTAACAATTTGACCGGACAACTCCGCATTCTGACCGGACATTGTCCGTTGACTGGCCTTTATTTCACGCCGTGTTACATGCTGGTATATACACTCTTTTGATTTTATAAGAATCTTGTTTGTAACAATACCGAGGCCAAACTCGGCAAAAAAATGAAGACTATTCTAAGAATACACGCAAGGATGAGCTTTTACATTATCGTTGACATCAACCGTGAAGCATATTCTTCAGCATCTTCATTGCTTCGACGCGCATTAACGGCCTTTTCCAAAAAAACACCACAGAATTTAAGACTCGAATTTAAAGCAATAACTGTCATGGACCACGAGTAAGCCACTCTTAGATTCATTTTGTCATTCTTGTAAACACTATAGCACAGTAAACCAGGTATGTAGCAGAGATAACTCAGAAAGACCACAAGCGCGCAGGATTTAGCCAATTTAACTTCTTGCAACGATTTTCTCCGCTTTTCAAATTCTGCCGAGTTTTGTTTCATCGTAATTGAGATATCAGCAGTTCGGTTACCAGAATATATACTCCTTGCTGTAAGGAATATTTTGACATAAGCAAAGGTATTGAGAACCAGAATAGTTCCAACAAATAAAATAATGGCAGTGCTGTGAATAAACTCGGATGGAAATTTTGCAAAGTTGAATACAAACACTGGCAATGTTAGCAAGCCGTTGCATATGAGAACCTTTCGTTTTGTCAACTGGACTCGATGTGCAATCGGATGTAGAATACTCAAGTATCTTTCAACTGTTAACAGGAATAGATTCAAAAATGATACTCCAGTTATGACTTGGAATATTTTCTCGCAGGAATAAAACAAAACACAATTTGCAAAGCCCAGAACTTCGCCAGCTCGGGCCAAGCTATAGAATGGAAGCGAAATGGCACCTACCGCAAAATCGATCGTAGATTGAACCAGAATTAAGAAATAGCTCGCTTTTTCTCTCAGCTGGGAACTCCGTACGATTGTCAGAATCGAAACGCCATTTAGTAATACAGTAGGGATCATTAAAACACAATTTGCGATGCAGAAAATAATTTGGTTGATTATAAATGTTTCCGAGGGAAAACGTAGGATAATATATATACTTCCGCCAAATTTCGGACATGCTTGCAAAAGAGTAGTGTTGTTATAGATGGCCGCCATTTCGATTCGCTTTTCGTCGTTAAATACACCGTTACATAAACAAATCGATAACTTTGGATTCGCGGCCGCGCATGTACAAACGACGCTTTCTGTTGGGATATGATTTAAGTTTAATCATTATGTGCACATGAGATTGGAAGACTTAATGTATTAACATAGATAATTAAGACGGCGATGAAGTGTTATTTACACAGGTTTTATATACCGATCTATTATGCAAAGTAGTGTCCTATTTTACATGGCAACGTGCTAGAATATTTACACTGAATTAGTATAATTAAAACGTCGGGTTGGTATAGGGTTACAACTATACCTGACAGATATACTTATGAGAATTTCGATGTTTTGAGCGAAGGGCCTCCGTTCATAATAAAAACTTATTGAATATCTAGTTTAAAATCTATTGAAAGCCATTCTATTAAGAATTAAGGTGTTCATGCATCAGTTTTGCATTGCGCACTTTTACTGCGCATGTCTAATAACAAATTCTAGCTAATATATGTAGTCGAACTACAATGTAAAGTGATAAAGAAAAAGGGCAGAACGAAAAACACTTTGCATTGATTATGGGCGTGTTTCAGGAAATATACCTTCAAAAATGACGGAACTCTGGCTAGGGCTCCACATCATGTTGCATGTTTAACCCTTGTATCTCTTTAAGAAGGTCCGTGACCCTACTTTTTATTTTACATTTTTGTTCTTCTAGACGTTTTACATGCCATACCAGAAAATAAGAGAAAAATCATTTCTACAACTTATAATATTTCACATTTTTCGCGCATGCTTCCCAAAATAACATGTCTGAGAAAATGGGAAAGACATCTTTGCATCACGACAATGCACGTCAATGGTTTTTCTTTCGCTAAAATACCATCTTTTCTTGTATATAATCACTAGATAGACATTTTTAGTAGGATCCTTGTTAAAAAATTTAATAACGGTTGAGCAATTGCGATTGTTCCTGCAACTCGTAAAAGGGTCAAGATGGCGCCATATGGAGAAAAAGGTGGCATATTGCACTTGTCATATCTTCGAAACGAGTTCGGTGACACCAAGTTTTTTTCTGTTTTTACTATGAGCATATCATAAACTTCACCCCTGGGAAGTTTCAGCAAATTCTCATTTCAGAACAATTACTGATGAATCGCCTTCAAAAAACAAACAGTTCATGTTCTTTCGTCCGATATTTGGAAATCAGTTCGTCTCAGGAGATTGTCCTTCGAAGAATAGCTAGCTTTCTGTGAGGCGTAGTGCACATTTGTCAACTAGATCCATTTTTATAAGCTTTGCTTGTGGCCGGAGTGACGATCAACCTTCATGTGTTCATGTGAGTCTACTATACTATAGGTTAAAACATGGCTCGAATTTTATCGCGGCAATTGCCGTAGAGGGAGAACAAAATGCCGTGGATCATTGCGGCAACGACGGCAATTTTTTGCCGTATAGTGCAATTTTTATACTATTCACTGTGCATTACTACTTTGATACTTGAATTCAGATGTTGATCAAATCATGCGTAAATCACAATTTCAGTCTCAATTTTCTTCGAAAAAAAAAACACTAAAGAAATACGTAGACATGTTTCTAGCTTGTCAAGAATCCGGAGTAACAATAAAATTAAAGTTTTATTTATTACAGTAATTTGAAAAATGCCGTGGAAATTGCCAAAATTGCCGTAGACAGCTGTTACGTTCTACGGCAATTTTAACGCCATTGCCGTCGATTGATTTCAGGGAAATTCGAGGCCTGGGTCAAAATCAGCACAATATGTCCATCCTGATCAGGTGGGAGAAAGCCTTCGTGTGGAAAATTTTATCCTACTTGACTGAGATGCCACCTAGCACCGAAGATGAGATCTCACCTAGCCGAGCTGACTCGTTTCTCATATGAACACAAATTGGATTTTATGTGTGTTAACAAACGGCATGCTGAATTTCTAGCCGGAAATCTGTTTTTTAAATGAATTCAGTGCAATAAGACAACTGTCTGCACAAAGTTTAATATATTCTGATATTTTAATTTAAACGTTGGCGTAGCGTTTGTTTTACAAATTATCATGTATGTTTATATTGCAATTTTAATGTTCATCCATTATTTTGGCAAACGTTGATCTTTTAGTCTTTATTAAAGTTAAATCTTGCATTATTTAAATGAAGCCCAGTCTTATTTGCAGAAAAATACCTTAGTAATGTCACTATGTATCGTCCATCGTCTACACACAATAGGCAATTCCAGCTTTTAATTTATGCGCGCAGGAGGTGACGGGTAGTAAGGTATCATATTGCCGATTATGCTGAAAAATTTCAATAAAAACTGCCGAAACAACCGATCTATTTCAATATTTACAAGTATAAGCTATCACTCCGTGTTTACACGGCCGCCATTTTTATTTTTTTAGTATAATCAACAATATGCATATGATAGCTTACTTCCCATCCCTCCTTGCACACATAAATTAAAAGCTGGAATTGCTTGTTAGACATCTGATTTTAACCCCCCCCCCCCTATTCTCCCCCCCCCACCGCAACTCACTGTACCCCGAAAACTTTTGTATCAATCGCCATACATACCGTTTAAGAAATTGTTCATGTTTTTATTTTGTTAGCTGATCACAAAGTTGAGTCTTCGTGAGAATAAAATTCGAGAAATACCTTGTGAAATAGGTAAAGTATATTTATTAATTGAAGGGTATTGTAGATGGAAATTATCGAGCGGAAATTTATATATTTATTACACCTAACCAGGAACAGCTGCGAAAAATGAAACTTTAGCGCTCTAACCAACTGAGCTACAGAGGCCAGTGGTCGAGCTCTAACCACAAGTTCATGTATATACTAGAGTACTGCCATGTTAGGTTATGGGCAAGCGCTGAAAATAAGTTTCCAAAGGTGCTTGGCAAACGGTGTCAGGTACCAAATGTTTGGTGTCTGACACTGGACATTTTGTGCCTGACAAAAAATATTAATGCAATAGAGCAAATATAGTTTTTCGTGGTCCTTGAAATAAAAGAAGCCAATACAACGAAAAGCTTAGTAACAACAGTCATAGCCTATCGAAGGGAAGATGGCTGTGAAACTCATCAGAATAACAATATAACTCATTATCTATGTTAGTCAACGTTTATTCATAAATCTGGTCCTTCACCGTCACCTGTGTATTGTATTTTTACCAAATCCACCAATAGCGATTTCCAGTTTCCCTATTGTTCAAGTCACGGATAGATGACTTTCCTAAAACATTGCTATTGGTTAGTTGGGCAAGAATACAATATCGACACGTGACGGCGAAGGACCAGATTTATGAATAAACGTTGACCAACATAGATAATGAGTTATATTGTTATTCTAATGAGTTTCACAGCCATCTTCCCTCCGATAAGCTATGCAACAGTTAAGTACTATTTAAAGCACGCGTAGGAGTGTTTTATCTGATAAAACACGACTATACAAGTGCTTTAAATGGCTTAAAAAACGACTCATCTTATATGAGTTCATTGGTGAAGTAATTTTTAAAATAAACTTTGTCTAAACCGAGAAAATCAAAGCTAAAGTTTATGTAAATTAACATGATTTTTTATCACATATGAAGATACGACACGCTTATGATTTTTCTTTGTGTTTTCCTCCTGAATTATTAATGAGTTTTTTAAGCCACTATAGTCAATTATATCATACGGAATCGAACAATCATAACATTTCCACAGGCATATTGTCTGAATTTCATAATTTGGACATACACATCTGTTTGTCTGCACAGGGCCGCCGAGAGGAGGGCAGGGGGGGGGGGACAAATTACCCCGGGACCCCACCTTAATAGGGCCCCAACTTGAGAGCGAGAGCCTAAAATTGAGTAGGCTTTTTAAATTGGTCAGAGAATTTTTGAAATTGAGGGCCCCTTACAGTGCCTCCACATGCAATCTAGTTAAGGTCTAGTTGGGTCTAGCTTAAAAATAATGATATCATGGGGCCCCCAGGGACGATTTGCCCCGGATCCCGCGAATTCTCTCGGCAGCCTTGTGTCTGTATAACATCAACTTAAACTTTAATAAAATGTTTTTGTCATTTATATGTGGTATTTTTCTCTTTTTTTAAGGTTATCTTATTCACCTGGTGACTTTAGATGTGTCGCATAATCAATTGGAACTTATACCTCAAGGTAGTACATGGCTTTTAAAATAATATCCTGAAAAAAGGAGAATTTTAACGTTTCGAGCGAAGGCTTGTTTAGTACTTGAAATATCAACTCTGCTCTCCTTCCTCCACTCTAAGATTGGAAAAAATAGCCTGGTTATTTTCGAAAGCGACGTACTATTTCGTAAAAGCGATTTAGTTATTTGCCATCCAAGATCTTGAAGTTACTTTGTTGAAGAATAAAAGTGGTGGTACATTGTAATGGACCTATTCCCTAATGAACAGATTTTTGATCTAGACAAGTCTAGACAAAAAGTTCATCACAGCTTCAAAGAGCATCGCAAAATTAGTAATATTCCGAAGTTTCGTTGCGACATGTTGTAAAATGCGGATAATATATAGCCCTGCGAAGTTTGCCGTTTTTCAGTCATTTTGTATTACGCACGGGAAATTGATACCTTCTTTCACTAGTCGGTATCAATTTCCCGTTTGTAATACAAAATGACTGAAAAACGGCAAACTTCGCAGGGCTATATTATCCGCATTTTACAACATTTCGCAACGAAACTTGGGAATATTTCTAATTTTGTGATGCTCTTTCAAGCTGTGATGAAATTTTGGTTTAGATCAAAATTTTGTTCATTAGGGAATAGGTCCATTGTACTGTATTGTAATATCTAATCAATATACATGACCGCTCCCCACAACCTACTTTATCAACACAAGCTGCTGCTCAGGATAATTCCGAAAGCCGTGGGTATGATCATAGTACTCTTTACGGCCTTGTTTACATGATCTCGGTTTGCCAGAAAGCTCCTTACAACTTGAGTTGTACTGTGTAAATCAAGCATACAACTCACCTATGACCATAGAGATTATAAATAACACTAGAGGAGGCATCGATGTTAAAAATTGGTAACGCAGCTAATGGGGGGCAAATTCAAGTCCCGGATATAAAATCGTGCTCTCATTGGCTGATTTGAAACTCGTCACCAATGGGAACGTGAATACACATCCGGGACTTGAATTTGCCCCCAATAGCTGCGTTCCCTTTTTTTAACTGAATTAAGATTACAATGCCTCCTCTAGTGTTATTTATAATCTCTATGCCTGCGACAACGTAAGCAAGCCGTGTGCTTGATTTACACAGTACAACACTCAAGTTGTAAGCAGGTTACGTGCGACAGTTTTAGGCAAAAGTTGTGTAGTGTAAAATGTAAATCGGCCTTCAGTTTCCATGGGAAAGTGATCAACGTTTCCATAAAAGTTGTTTTAACGCTGTTGTTCCTTGTGTAGAGATTGGAAACTGTGTAAAAATGACGTCGCTGGATTTGCAACATAATGAATTACTCGCCTTGCCCGATTCCATCGGAAGCCTAACGGCGTTGACAAGACTTGGTCTAAGGTAAATATAATTTAGAATTTCATCTAAGTCTCGATCGGAGATTGCACAGAAAAATAGGCATGTCACTGAGCAACTTTTGCATGGCATCGTGGGCTCAGTCAAAAGAGGCCCGCCCCAATATAGAATAGAGCTTGCTCGCGGGTTACGCACGTAAAACCGCACAAGTTGTTACAAGTCTGCAAACAAGTTGTTACAAATCTGTTCACAAGCTGTCGACAAGTTGTCTTCGCACTGCTTGTTCCCAGTTGTTGTAACAAGTTTGGAACAAGCTGTTAACAACTTGTAACAAGCTTGATGGCATTATCAGGTTGTTCTAACAAGTCTGATACAGTCATGATATAACAACGATGTTACAAGGTTGACGACACAATGTTGTAACAATATTGTTATATCATGACTGTATTGGACTTGTTGCTGATTATACCAACAAGGTTGTTACAAGTTGTTAACAGCTTGTTCCAACGTTGTTGACAACTTGGGACAAGCAGTACGAACACAAGTTGTTGGCACAAGATTTTTACGCGTCATAGATGTCAATTTGTGGCAGCAATTTAAGAAGAGTGCTTCCAGTTTGACTCTAGCAAATACTACAGGTTAGCGCCAGTGGCTTTTCCTGTAGAAATTGGGAATTCGGTTTTCTCTTTAACTTTCCGCTGAGACGTTTTATCATTTTACTTGTTGTATATACAGTTTATATGATAGCAAATGTTGTATCTTTTTCTAGATATAACCAGCTTTCAACAATCCCTCACACCTTGGCAAACTGCACGTCATTGGAAGAGTTTAATATTGAAGGAAATCACGTGACAGAATTACCCGTATGTAATGTTCTAACAACAGGAACAGCAACAACAACAACAACAACAACAACAACAACAACAACAACAACAACAACAACAACAACAACAGAGAACGGAAATAATAACAACAATAACAAACAACAACAGGAAAACAATAATAAACAGCAGCAACCGGCAGCAACAACGACAATAGCAACGACGACAACAGCAACGACGACAGCAACAGCAGCGACAACAACGACAACAACAACAACAGCAGCAACAGCAGCGACAACAACAACAACAACAACAACAACAACAACAACAGCGGCAGCGACAACAGCAGCAGCGACAACAACAACAACAGCAGCAGCAACAGCGACAGCAACGACAACGACAAGAACAACGGCAACCACAACAGCAACGGCAACCACAACAGCGACCACAGCAACAACAGCAACAGCAACAACGCCAACAGCAACAGCAACAACGCCAACAGCAACAACGCCAACAGCAACAGCAACAACGCCAACAGCAACAGCAACAACGTCAACAGCAACACCGACAACAACAAACACCAACAACGACAGCAACGACAACAACAATGACAACAGCAACACCAACAATAGCAGCAACAACAGCAACAGCAGCAAAAACAACAACAACTGCAGCGGCAGCAACACTGACAACAATGAAAACACCGACAACAACAGCGACAACGACAACAGCAACAATAACCAGCGCGACAACGACAAAAACAACCGCAATAACAAAAATAACCGCAACAACAACAGCAATTCAAACACCACATTAATAACAAGTAAGCAAGTATTATTATGTATCTCGAGTGTTTACACCAATTCTATGTTGTTTGTTTTTATTCTCAGGGAAGTCTCCTGGCAAACTTCAAACAGTTAAATTCAATAACTTTATCAAGAAATAAATTCGAGAACTTTCCTTCGGGACCTCCCAAACAACTGGAAACTGTCACGGTAGGAAGAAAAATAACCCGTGTATTTCTCTAGACTTTTAAAAACCATAACTGCATACCATTATTTATTATCTTATTTTATTGCAGTCGTTTAATTTGGATCATAACTCAGTACAGAAGATCCCATTTGGTATTCTGTGCCGTGCAAAATATCTGGTAAGCTTGAAGTGTGTTTTCAACCTCGTGCTAAATAGCTTTATAAAGCTCTGGATAGCTCTATCAGTTCTAAACTGTTCTCTCAGAGGTCCAATAAGAGTCATCTCTAATTGATCCATGCAGTGTTACTATGCAGTAGGAAACCTAAACTAGACTAACTTTATTTATACTGGATAGCTCTGTCGATTTTAAACTGTTTTCTGTAGAGGTCCAGTAAAGATCTCTTATTGATCCAGTGTTACTACTGGAGGAAACCTAGACTAAAGTAACTTTATTTATATACTGCATAGCTTTATCAGTCCTAAACGATAGCTCTATCAGTTCTAAACTGGTCTTCTTAGAGGTCCAGTAAGGATCATCTCTTATTGATCCTGTTTAAGGTACTAAAAATACCGTTGAAAACCTGGGGATGCTTTTTCTTTTTCCAAATAGTTTACAAGGATTGAAAATGAATTACAAGTTCTTTTTATGGATTTTGTGAAAGACTGAACTTTATTTTTCTTTTTTCATCTAGTGCAAATTGAATCTTAGTAACAACCAAATTTTGGCATTACCTGTTGGTAAGTACGAAAAAGCTCTTTATCCAGTATCATTTTATCATTCCATACATGGGATTGAAATACTACTTGAGAGTCATCGCTTATCAGAGCCTGAAAAAATCGCCGGTACAAAAAAGGTACACGCATACCAAACAGCCTACAGATATAATCTAAATTATTTATTTGAAACCCTGAATATAGATTTTGGTACGTGGACAACTTTGGTTGAACTCAATCTCGGAACGAATCAAGTTAGCAAGTTAAATGGTGAGGGATACAAATATATTTTTATTCATTTTAGGTATAGTAATTTATAGAAATGATAATAATAATAATAATAATAATGATTTATTAGCGATTCCAAATTGAATTGGCTCTTCTATCACTAAATTAGCTAATCTATATTAACAAGTACTATATTTACAATTAGTAGCTATGAAGAGTTAATACATCTATACAGTACATTCACACAGTCACAGTACATATTTCACAAAACAGATGTAACAAAACATAGTCATTTATACCCCGGCCCGAGCCTCTCGTGGGCCAAGTCTGTGAGATAGACTTTCACACTTGTTCTAAAAATGTTGAAATCTTTGCAATTTCGCAATCTGGCAGAGAGTTAAACAGCGAGTTGATATTGATAAACGTGCATGATTCAAAGTATATACGAAGCCAAACTAACTTTGTTAATAAGCTTTAAAAGTGTTTATGCTGACTATTTAAAACATGAATATAGTGCAAACATAAATGTAGTGTAAACATAATTATAGTGTTTTATCAGATATAAAGATACGAGGGGAAGCCGAGTACCTTTAGGCCTGATAAAACACTCCCAGAGAATGTTTTATAAATTGTTTCAAAAACGAAGTAATTTTCAAAAAATATGTTGTGTAAGTCGAGAAAATCAAAGTTAATTAAAGTTTGTGTAAATCAAGGGAAATCTCTATCACATATAAAGATACGACACGCTTATGATTTTTCTTTGTGTTTTCCTCATGAATTATTAATGATTTTTGAAGCTGACTAAAACCATCCTTACCTTGCGAAAAGTTCCAGTCCCGCAAAAGGATACAGCATTCATTATTATAGTACAGAATATAATGTATAAACCACTTTGGCAAAATGCGGCTGTGATGGGCAGACGTTATTACAACATCCTAAAAGCCAAAAAAGCGCACATGCATGCAGGCTAAAAGCAATTAATGATTAATTCCATTATTTTTTTCAGATGATATTCATTCGTTAGTGAATCTTGAAGTTCTTAATCTCAGCAATAATTTACTCAAGGTATATTTGTGAATAGATTATTACATTTAATTTTGTGGAATTTCTATATCATGTGTATATAGAAAATCGTTTTTTTCCGATCCTATACCATTGCTATCATATTCCATTGGACACACTAGAATGGTTGGCGAGACAGCGACATTTTAAGCTTGTCAGGCTTTTCACTTTTTTTCCACCGTTGGGAATTGCATGTAAAGCTATTGTCTGTGTTTTGAAATTATTCTCATTTGGGATTCAAATTCAAGTCGCTTGAATCAAGATGGTGCAACGCATTTGGGCAAATGTTCGAAAATTGGAAGAACATTTAAATCTTAATGGACCTATTCCCTAATGAACAAAATTTTGATCTAGACAAGTCTAGACAAAAATTTCACCACAGCTTGAAATAGCATCACAAAATTAGTAATATTCCAAAGTTTCGTTGCGAAATGTTGTAAAATGCGGATAATATAGCCCTGCGAAGTTTGCCGTTTTTCAGTCATTTTGTATTGCCACCGCTTTCTGAAAAAAGGTATCAATTTCCCGTGCGTAATACAAAATGACTGAAAAACGGCAAACTTCGCAGGGCTATATTATCCGCATTTTACAACATTTCGCAACGACACTTCGGAATATTACTAATTTTGTGATGATCTTTCAAGCTGTGGTGAAACTTTTGTCTAGATCAAAATTTTGTTCATTAGGGAATAGGTCCATTAAATTTCGAAAACTGCGATTTCAACCGACCACTCGATCTAAAGTTTAGGTTCGTATTTGGTTATTTTCTATCGTAATCATTCCATAAAGGTGCAGTCATTCAACCGCTAAAAGCCTAATCTTTATAAATACGATCAAGGGCCGTTGATGCCGGCTCACGGATGAGATGAAATGAAAGGGACAGAAAGAATTGAGCAGTTTGCAGTTGTTTTTGCAAACAGGCACCGTGCGAATTTGGACATTTGTCCATAGGCAGCCCAAAAATGCGTGTTGAAATTTTCACCCTCGCGCGTGGCGCTCGGGCATGCATCGAGTCTACTCAGTTATTATTATGACAAGGTTGGCAAGACTTTTAACGGAAATTTATTACAACGTTTACTAGAGTATGAATATTTCGCAGTTTCTAGAGTATGAATATATGGGTCAAAAACAGAAGACCTTTAAATGCAATAATTAACACACGATATTTGATAATCTGTCCAAGTTGAATTACCTTTTTGGCCAGATTCGATAAATTTCTATTAATGTTTTTCTGCATTTTAGAAACTTCCTAGGGGTATCGGAGCCCTAAAGAAACTCAAGACACTTGATGTTGAAGAAAATCAGCTGGATTGTTTACCGTCAGAAATAGAGTATTTAAGAAGCTTAGAAATTTTAAACGCTCAGTCAAATCGTCTACAAAACTTACCAAGATCGATAGGGTATGTATACTCATAAATATCGAGATTGTTTACATCACTTAGTCTGAAATGGATCTTAATAGTAGCAACGAAAGTGCGAAGGTTAATCCACTAACTTTTACACCCGTTTTCAAAAATACGCGACCTCCCAGAAAAATACTCTTACTTCAAATGTCAGTTTTATGTCACAAAAACTGCTAAAAATAGCAAACGTAAACAAACTGTCAAAAGACATTTTAAACCGTATTTAATACCAAAACTGAACAAAAATGAGTTAGATAACTTAGATATGCAAACTAAAGCACAACACAAACCATCACAACAGAAATATGTGCCGTGAATAACTTTTAAAGTTTGAAAAATAACAATTTATCCCGGAATCTAGCCGTCAGTGTAAAACACGCGCGCTAGACTATAACGGTGATGTTATTATGTCTTATGATTTTGTATGTGCTTAAATTTTACAATAATTCTCACTAAAATATCTTGAAAATCATTGTAAGCCTGTTCATATAAAGTATACAAAGCATATACATCGACAAGGAACCGCAAAACTCAAAGTTTAAACTTCGTGAACAAATAACATAAAACTGACATGTCAACTCTAGCATTTTCGTCCTTGGTCGCGTAATTTTGAAAACGGGTGTAATAGTGGTAAATTCAAATGGCTTACAGCGGTTTCAATTTATTTGAATGATTTGTGTCAGAAATTCTAAATATCAAGGGAAAATGGTCCGTTCCTCACGGGGGCTACAAGCAGCTTAAGACGAGCGATATTGCTATAACGTTGGTACGAGAACCAAAGTGTTCTGTTAGAAGGCGGTAGGTTAAAAGAATATAAAGAGTTTCTACAAAGAATAGCAGCCATAGATCCGAATAGTGAATGCAATTTGGGCGTAGACGATTTGGATTCAACGCCTCCGCAAAATGCTTCGCTAAAGAATATTAATGACTTCATGGTACATTCGAACTTAGCGGGAGTTGAAGTGTTGGATTTGGAGGACTCTTAATTGCGCTATCAGCCTATCTGACAACAATATAACAAATGGAAGTTTTCAGGGCTGCGAAGAAAGCGTTTCATGCGTCGAAGAGAGTGTGCTTCACACTGTCGTTAAACGTTTGGAGACCAAAGTAAGCTTAGTTGCAGTACACTTTAAGTTCTTTAAGTTCAAAAGGATGTGTGTTGTTGAGGTCTACAAGTAAGTTTTTACAAGTCTGTTCACAAGCTGTCGACAAGTTGTGTTTGCACTGCTTTCCCATTTGTTGTAACAAGTTTGGAACAAGCTGTTAACAACTTGCAACAAACTTGATGGCATTATCGGACTTGTTATACAAGGTTGTTCTAACAAATCTGATACAGTCATGATATAACAAGAATGTTACAAGGTGACGGCACAAGGTTGTAACAATATTGTTATGCCATGACTGTATCAGACTTGTTGGAACAACCTTGTAACAACTCTATTAACAAGGGTGTTACAAATTTTTAACAGCTTGTTCCAAACTTGTTGACAACTTGGGACAAGCAGTGCGAACACAACTTGTTGACGGCTTGTTGGCAGACTTTCTACAAGATGTGAGATTTTTGCGCGTGTAGTTGAATACAGGGGGGTGCGTTCGAAGCCCTAACTTTCCATCGGAGTCCGACTCCGAAGGACGAGTGCAATTTGAAGTCTTTGAAAAACTCACGAGTGTGTGTTTTTTCAAATTGCACGAGAAACCATACTATTACTTGTTAAGAGGCAATTTTTTTCAATGTCACGTATTTACAATGAAAAGTGTTCAAAACCTAAAATCTTTTTGGCGTTCCTCTCAGAATCACTTTGTTTTTGCTTTATTCTCTAGTTTATACAGTTAGCTACCTTTTTAAATGCATCTGCCGGTTGAGAAACATAAAATAATAGTTAAGAATTGTCAATTAAAATACAATTATCAATGATGCTTTAAAATTGACGCCATTTTTAAGCCATATAAGCAAAACTTACTGAACTTCAGACATTATTTTCTCTTTGGCGTATCATCTAAAATCTCTTCATTTTAGCATTATTTTACAGATAAAGCACTAATCATACTTTTTAAGTTTGTTTGCCGATTGAGAAACGTATCGAAAAATAAAAATTTTGAATTTAGTCATAACCTCAAGTGGTATATTATACGTATTAGTTTTGAGCGCGTGTTACGTAACATACAAAAAAATCTCCTAATAATATGCATGAAAAGTTTACACGCTTCGATACCACCTGTGGACTCACCTACGCCTTCCAAGCATTATTTTCATTGCTTGTTACCAATCCTTTTCAGTTTATGTGCTCCTTCTACTTAAATTGTTATATTCACGTACGATTTTCCATTGAAAGTGCGCAAAAAGTCGTCAAAAAAGTGAAAATTTACATTGCTACTATCTGTCGCCATGTTGGTTTTTCCTGTCTCGCTTCCAGGCTCTGCTCTTGTTTTGTTAATAGCATACACTGCAGTAATATTTCAAAAATAATTGCCCTGCTCTTATAGCCAATCAGAATTGAGTAATTTTTTCATCTATATTAAGATAATGATATAATTGCTTCTACACATATAGGTATCTTAACAACCTGACAAAGCTCAGCGTGGGAGAAAACGACATTACTTATTTACCCGAAGAAATAGGTAAGATGCTTGATAAATATAAATGACAGTGTTGTAAAAGTGAGTTAGTTTTTGGGACTAGGAACACAAATTTCTAGTGATTGGCAGGAGTAAATAATTAATGAAGTCACACCAACATTAAGGTGATTCGTCAATTTTGCATCGTGCACTTTTACTGCGCATAGTCTAAAAAACAAATTCTAGCTAACATATGTAGTCAACTGTAAAGTGATAAAGAAAGAGTAAGGGCAAAGAGAAAAACACTCTGCATTGATTAGGCGTGCTTCAGGAACTATACCTTCAAAAATGACAGAAAGAACTCTAGCTAGGGCTCCCAGTGTAATTAACACGAAACCACATGATGTTGTATGTTTAACTCTTCTATACTTTTGTTCTTCTATACGTTTTACATGCCATATCAGAAGATAAAAGAAAAATCATCTCTACAATTTATAATATTTTACATTTTTTGCGCATGCTTCCCAAAATAACATGTCTGAGAAGATGGGAAAATACATCTTTGCACCACGACAATGCACGTCAATGGTTTCTGATTCGCTAAAATACCATGTTTTCTTGTATATAATCAGCAGATAGACATTTTTAGTAGGATCCTAATTGTTAAAAAAATTTAATAACGGTTGAGCAATTTGGATTGTTCCTGTAACTCGTAAAAGGGTCAAGATGCTATTATAGCTAAAATTAGCTTGCAGTAATGTTTATTTCCCAAACCGGTTTGACATATTGTTACAAATGGCCAATCACATGCGAGATTCAAATTCTGAACCTAATCAAGTGTGAAAGTGGGATTTGCAATCGATGTGACCAGAGGCTCTCCGTTCTCGTCTCTTGTTTCTTTCGCCTCGCAAAGAGCCTCTGGAACCAGGGTATGAGCTCACGAGAAAATACTCAGAATGCTCTAGTTAGCTAAATATCATGGTTACATATGTAAAAATGTCGAGGTTGTTATACAGCCGTATTTTCAAGTGTACTATACATTAACAAGCAAATTTACTGTACTGTGCTACAGCAACTGTCCAGTCATGTATACGTGATAAAAATCCAATAAAAACTTTATAAACAAAAGATAATGTAAAACCGTGGATAATAAAATAAATGGATAGGACTCTCGCTGACGTAAGCAAAAACAACCTAGTTGCAATCTGTGACGTCACGCGTATTGCAAAGTTCTCTGCATTTTTGTTGTTTTGCTATATTTTCCGCCTTAAAAGAGCAATATTGAAGCATAAACCGGTCTCATTGTTTTAAAAACATGCCTAAGCCACGACAAAGTATTCAAGGTAAATGTTTTTCGTCTTTGTTTTGTATTTTTTTACATTTGTAGCTACGAAATTGGCGTCCCCAATTTTAACGAAATTTGGGATGCCTTTTTCACTGTTTAGTGCTTGAAATATTTGCTAAAATTGACTGGGAATACTTAGAGATTTCATCGTATAGAATGGCGTAGTTACATTCATTTGCTCTTTGACTATTATTGCTAAACATGCCGTTTTTGAGAATTTGGTTTGCAACTAGGTTTCAACATCCAATCACGCCATCAGCCCATTGAAAACATTAGATCACGTCAGCTAGTTTCCTATCCATTTATTTTATTATCCATGGTAAAACGTAACAGAACGGCGAACATGCAGATTTGGACATCTCTAATGATGGTAATGTAGGGATAGTAGCGTTGCAGACTGCAGAGGAGAGTGGGCAGTAAGGCTCCCTCGTGCACCACCCCATGGAAAACCTGCACCCCTCCTTGCAGATAAGGCTAGATCTGCCCCTGGTTTTGAGATGACCAGAACCTTTCGGAGAATTGTGTAGAAATCACAGTTTTTAAATGTTCGCTTTCTTTCCTTTTCAGGAACATTAGAAAGTTTAGAACAACTATATTTAAACGACAACGAAAACCTACATTATTTACCATACGAGTTGGCTTTGTGTGCCTCGCTACAAATTATGAGTATTGAAAATTGTCCACTTAGTCGATATCCACCGGAAATTGTCGTCGGAGGCCCGTCCATGGTGATACAGGTATGTTAATACAGGATTTTTTGGGATAGGTCGTACTGAGTTTCACAACCGATAATGGTAATTCATAATATGTTGATGAGAAATTGTATTGTTGATGTGGCGAGCCAGCCCAAGTACCCAAGCTGGCCCGATTTAGGCGAGATCCCGCCTTTGTTATTGTTTCCTACTAAATTTCATTTGGCGTTTATATGGGAACCGAGCTGGCCCACCTAAGCAAGATCCCGACTCGACTGACCGAGATCTCGCGGGCTGGGAATCTCGAGCTGGAGTGTTATTGCTCTGTTCACGCAAAATAATATATTGAGCTGTAAATAAGATTTCTTCAACCGATTTCGATCGTAAAATGTCTCTCTGTGCACGATTCCGCCATGGGTAATATTCGTGGAAGTTGCTAGCGAACGTGCGAATTTCAGGTTCGCGAAAAAATATATTATTGTTATACTCTTTAGCGGTGAGACCAGTGGTTTGTTTTGGCGAGTCAGCCCACCACCTCAAAAGTCTCGTGTAAATTTTTAGATTTTTAATATATTTCTCAAGCGGCTAACGAACTTAAAAAGTATGTTTAGTGAAACATTATGCTAAAATGAAGAGATTTAAATGGACGCCAAAGAGAAAATGATATCTCAAGTTCAATAAGTTTTGCTTATATTCTTGTATAAATGTGGCGTCAATTTTACAGCATCAATGATAATTGTATTTAAATTGACCATATTTAGCTATTGTGTTTCTCAACCGCCAGATTCATTTAAACTGTGTAAACTACAAAATAAAGCTAAAACAAAGTACGACTTTAAGTAACACTTCTTGGGTCGCGATGAGCTTTCACGTTGCTTGAAAGACGTCATAAATTAATGCTTAGTTTAACGTCGTGTTGAGAAAGACAAAGCCGTTGAGAATACTCCTACATGGGACCACAAATTATTCGCAGTTTTTGTCTTGCATGAGAAATTTCTTTGTTTCAAAAGCGCGTCGTTGAGGGGCCGCATCGTAGATCTTAAAATTAATTAAATTAAACCCTCTATTGCCTTAGGTCCTGTCTTGTACCTAAACCCTGCTTGTCCAGGGCTCCAAAATCGAAATAGCGGGCTGCCAATGGCCAAACGGGTCATATTTTAGATAAATAAAAAAAATGGCAGGTGAAATTCTATATAGATATATTTCATTTAATTTGCTTACCACAACTCATATATACTAGATCATTTAGTTGACTAAATATATGTTTATATTCGAAATGTAAATCCAAGTTACTGTAGTAAAATAGACAAGTTTAAAAATAATAAAAATGCATATCATGAAAGCATTGATTTTTACAATATGACTCATATGAGACGTCGCCATTTTGGCAGTTCAATGAACAAAAATGGCAGGCTAAAATTTATTTCACATGCCAAAATATTTTAGAGTGGCAGGCCATATTTTTTCTTTACTTCGAGCCCTGTGCTTGTCCTATACTACTAATACAATTATTTTGTGTTCCAGTACCTTCGTTTCCAGGGCCCGTACCGCGTGATGCAAAATGATCCCAACCAGGTGCCTGTATCAGACCTGTAGTCTTGGGGGACCTCTGTGGCCGTGCGTGACACAGGGACTGGGCCTAGAAAATATTTCGTGTGAAAAAATTTTAATAGTTTTAAGAATTTTATCCTAAGGGATGACCGCCGGGGTGTATATTTTACTTAGAGTGGAGTTTACTTAATTAAGGATGGTTCCAGCTATATATACTAAATTTTGATCCGGACAAGACGGACGAAATCTATCATTATGGCTGAAAAGAACATCCTTAAATTAGTAAAATTGCTAAATTTGGTGGCAAAATGTTGTAAAATACGGAAAATATAGCCTTGTGAAATTAGCAAAATTTGAGTATTTTAGTATTACGCGCGGGAAAATGCGCCACCTTTGACGCGCGGGAAAATGCACGACTTTTGAGGCGAAAGTGGTGGCTTTTTTCCGCGCGAAATACTAAAATACTCAAAATTTGCTGATTTTACAGGGCTTATATTTTTCGTATTTTACAACATTTCGCAACCAAACTTTGCAATTTACTAATTTTAGGATGCTCTTTTGAGCTATAATGAAAGATTTCGCCTTTCTTGTCCAGATCAAAAAATTAGTCGATAGCTGAAATCATAAATGACCATTGGAACAGTGCAGCACTGCACACGTAAAAACGCACAAGTTGTTAACAAGGTTGCAGCAAGGTTGTTTAAAATTGCAACAAGGTTGTTGTGAAGCCGATATCAGGATGTGTTCGCACTGCTTGTTCCCAGTTGTTGTGACAAGTCTGGAACGAGTTGTTATCACCTTGTTACAAGGGTGGGTAGTAGCGAAGTAGTAGTAGTTCGCTACTGTAGCGAACTACAATTTTCAAGTAGCCAGTAGTTTTTGACTACTTTTTTAAAACAGTAGCTGTAGTTATAGCGAACTACATTTTGCCTAAAAGTAGCCAAATACACCCTTTTCATAAATGGCTGCCGATTAAAAATTCTTTTATGTGCATATAAATTGGCCCAACTAGCCTCGTTTCTGGGTAGAAATTCCTTTGAAATCTTAACATGAGTACGAGGCTAGTTGGGCCAATTTATATGCACATAAAAGAATTTTTAATCGGCAGCCATTTATGAAAAGGGTGTATAGTTGACTACTTTTCAAACAGCAAATCGCTATTCGCTACTTTTTAAAATTGTTAGCAACCGTTCATAGAATAGAATGATATTAAGACACGATTTGCTTAAAAGATTATTTTATACAGTAAAGATTGTTTTAGCGCAATGAAAATTGGCACTCCTGAACACTGTATAGTGCTTACAAAAATGTTGCTTTGACCCTTTTTGTTTACTGTTGCTACTCGTAAGTCGATTTGTTATAGGTTATATTACAGCCTGAGTTAGTGGATGCTCCAAATACCGTAAAACTAAAAAATATAGAGTAGCGAAATAGCGAAATAGTTCGCTACATTTTTTAAGCAGTAGCTGTAGTCAGTAGCGAACTACCTTTGTTCAAAAGTAGCAGTAGTTGTAGCTGACTACATATTTTTGAAGTAGCTGTAGTTATAGCGAACTACAAAAATTTTGTAGTCAACCCACCCTTGCCTTGTTACAAGGTTGATGACGGTAACAGACTTGATATAAGTTGTTCCATAGCCTATCGAAGAGAAGATGGCTGTGAAAGTCATTAGAATAACAATATAACTCATTATCTATGTTGGTCAACGTTACTCATAAATCTGGTCCTTCACCGTCACGTGTGTATTGTATTCTTACCCAACTAACCAATAGCAATGTCTTAGGAAAGTTACCTATCCGTGACTCGAACAATAGGGAAACTGGAAATTGCTATTGGTAGATTTGGTAAAAATACAATACACACGTGACGGTGAAACGACCAGATTTATGAAAAAACGTTGACTAACATAGATAATGAGTTACATTGTTATTCTAATTAGTTTCACAGCCATCTTCCCTTCGATAGGCTATGGTTGTACCAGAGAGACTAATACAGGCTGTTCGTAACAAGTTGCTACGAGCTTGTTGTCATCAACTTGTTAACAACTTGTTACGTGCAGACGATATCAGACTTGTTGGAACAACTTGTTGCGAGTCTGTTAGCCTTATCAACCTCGTGACAAGATGATAACAACTTGTTCCAGACTTGTCAGCAACTGGGAACAAGCAGTGCGAACGCGTCTTTGTTGGCAAATGAGATTTTTACGCGTGTAGGTGCTCAACTGTGAATGGAAAGACAATTATCGTGGTAGCTAAGTTGACACTCCGTTACTCTATGTAATGGCCTTCAACGAATTAAATTCGAAAACAGCAATTAGCCGTTGTCACATTAAAAGACGGACAAGTCGTTTTTGTTTAGACGAACAAATCGTCTTAAAATCGTCTCTTAGTCGGACAAATCATCACATGTGAAAACGTGTCGGACAAAATTTTAGACGAACAACTAGTCATCTGAAGTTGTTCGACTACTTAATTGTCCGTCTGTGATTACGATTAAAAGAGGGACCACTTGTCCGTCTCTAATAAGGCAATTTCTAAAGGTTCACTTTTTAGACACTATGTAATGCGCTTGTTTAATAACGTTGGTATCCAATACTAGATTCCCATTATTACGTTTTCGCAGCGCTTTGCATTGTGGTTATAGTGGTATCACTGATATTCAAGATGGCTTAGTTATTTTTTGTCCTGACCCGTGCAAGAACTTTTAAAAAAAGCTAGGGTCAGGTGCGCGATAGCCAACAGCAAAATATTCGCGAAAACGTTCAATATTTTCATTCGAGGCCGCTATCTTTATCAGTGATACCACTATAACCACAATGCAAAGCGCCACGAAAACGTAATAAGGGGAATCATCAATGTTACAACCTCATATACCCAGAGCCTTTGCGCAGAAGCCCTGGGTACGAGGTTGATCCAGTATTAATGGTTCAGAGTGTCCACTGCGCGTCCAAACGACGCGTTATGCGTCAAGATAGATTGATGTGTTGAACTATAACATTTAGAAAGTCAGGGTTTATAATCCAAGTGAGTATATATACATTTTAAGACCTGACCAGGAACGACTGCGAAAAATGTAGCACAAGGTAAGGTCCTCTGGTAGAGGACCTTGTGCTGCATTTTTCGCAGTCGTTCTTGGTCAGGTCTTAAAATGTATATGTACTCACTTGGATTACAAACCCTGACATTCTAATATTAATTCACCAAGTGAAGTGCAAGAAACATTCATGTAGCTGCAGATGAATTCGAATATGAATATCAAAATATTCAACTCTTCAATTGTCATTTGAATTTGCAAAAAAGTTGCTTAAAAGATTAAAAGAAATTGGTTTTCGTACGATTGACTCGCTTAAAATTAGAAAATATAATCCCTGATCAAGTGTACCTTTCTTTATTTTCGCAAGAAAATTTTCTTTATATATATTTGAGAGAAGAAAGGACAAAATATGCTAGGACAAACATTTATTGACAGTTCTATTGTGGCCATAAGTAAAACACAAATAATGATTGAACATTTCAATACTTTGACATGCATATATTTAATGCTTCCATGTTACGATTCAACCGCGATTTACTCCGACGCACAACACGTCAATTTTGACGCGCAGTCCAGATCTCTCAATTGGCTTTCGAAAACTCACATGGCTAATTATACTGTGCTATCGTTTTTGTTTACGAAAGCGTAGAATTGGAAAAAGGGGTAGTCCACAAGCATTTTGTCTAGTCTTGCAGTTGTTTAAATATTTTTAAATGTAGCACGCAGAATATTGTATAATTCTTGGGAAAATATGATGTATTCTGCATGAAGAAGATTTTACATGTATATAGAAATAAATAGCAATTTGAACATTAAAAATGAAAATCTCCAAACTAAAGAATTCGTACTCTAACGTATTCGACCAAGTTCCCTTGTCGAAGCCATCATGATAACAAACAATAGCGGTCTAAGTCCACTATAGGCCAGGGTTTTTTTTAAAGAATTCGTCAGGGGGGGTGGCACAATTTACAGAAAGGGACCATACTGTACTGAATATGGAGAGATGACAGATGGTTGTTGGTGAAAAAAAGTCGTATGCTTCGTGTGTTTTCTGAAACAGATTCAGTTTGGATATACAGCGTTGCATTATACTGTACATAGACTGAATCTTCAGTTAAGCACTTGCATGGTATGTTTATGTAAGGCACAACTCGGTCACTAACTTGTTTAGCCTAGCCTTCCAACATCTCAAATCTATAGGGTCTGGGATATGCTACCCACTGGCAGTTTTTAAAATCAAAGGTATTTACAACGCAATGTTTAGCATGTTTAAAAAGATGATGAATCATTTGAAGATAAAAGACATTGCATAAGATTCACAAAGCAATTTTCAGTTACTAGAATATCTAACCTCGATCGGCTCTAAATTCTATTTTTCTTCCAATGTTTTGCTTATACCGTAAACCTCCGACTATAAGCCCTGGGCTTATATTCTTTCGTAAGCGATTTTTCATGGGCTTATACAAAGGTGGGCTTATATACCGGGAGGGGGGGGGGGATTTATACATGGACGATATTTTGTGTTAGTGTAATAGTGATAAACAAGTTTAAGCATAATAATAATAGTGATTAATAGTGATAAACAATAGTGATAAACAAGTGGGCTTATATTTGGGTGGGCTTATATTCGGGGGCTTACATTCGGAGGTTTACGGTATTTTAGAGAAAAGGGACTGGGCGGAATATTGACTAATGGGTAGGGGGCAAGAAGGGGCCTGGGGGGCAAATGCCCCCCTCAGCTTATATACTACTGAAAAGGGCTTGCTATAGGCGCCTTTATGAATGGGCTGATTTGCACAACACCCAGTATTCATATTAATACTACAAAGAAAATAATTGTATTGACATAAATATGACAAATGATAGTCATCAATATATAAGGCATTATCTCGTACAGCAGATGGGGGTTTTCTTGGAGATGGAATTTTTGAAAACAAATTTGTATAGACATGTTTAGATCTGACCAGAAGCAGTTGCTGGTTACGTCTAAAAATGGATAAAAATTTGCGTTCAAAAATTTCATTTCCCAAATAGCCATCTACCAGGTGATCTCGTGTTCGTATTTTAGCCAATCAGCGCTCAGAAAGGGTTGTCTGAATAGAAATCCATTTTGATGTATTCAGTCAATTATATATCTTTCGTTATTTTTTATGAAACTAGTTGAAATTTTGTAATTATGTTTAGTTATGAGAACTATAGCTCTGACAAAAATATGGAATCGAAATAAAGTCTATTACAGGAGATATTCAGTTGTTTTAATCATAAAATGGATTTCTATTTGACCACTAGTGCCAGTACTTTTCCGCGTATCAAGATCATCTGGTATATACTATTCGTCGTATCGAAGGAGATTCCCAAACATTTCGATATTATTGCATCATAAATAACTACAGTATTATATTTGTATGACTCATACAGTATAAATTATAATACTAGCCATGCAATTAAATTAATTTATATCAAGTCACAAAATATTCTCAAAATTTCAGCTTAGAAAGAAAAATTTTGTAAAACTGACCAGAGGATTTGCCCGTGCTATTGGAACTTAAGCCAGAAGGTGCGATTTTAAAAGTTATAACAATGTCATCGATTTTCACTGATGATTTTCCATTGGTACCACTGTAAGAATTTGGTCCTATTATTGTCGCAATTATTGTGATCTCTTTATTTGGCAGTAGAGGAATTGGATTGGGTAACATGACGTCATAACCCGGCACGCCGTCACTGTCTTGTTCTGAAGTGTAGGTCCCTGTTACATTCTTATCCTTGATTGTAAATTTGACTTTGTATTGGCCGCCATTGAAACCAAACAAGCGAACACCGTGAAAGAGAACAGCTTTATTGACTCAACCAGGGTAAGACCATCGGATTCTCCGTGGTAACTCCAACCGCTGCCTGCAACATCGGCAGAGTCAAATCTGCTGAAACTGATTAGGGATATACATGGTTGCCTCTTTTTATGTTCTTTCCATTTCAAGCCTGCCACGTCTAATTTGCAAAGCTTTTGCAAAATGGACACAATTTCTGTGTCTGTAAGTATTCCAGTGGGGGAAACATATTTTACAAAGTTTTCCAGAGGCATTGCAAGGAAAGGAATTTCATAAACACTATCTCCTAGGATGCGTCTTCTTGCCGTTTTATCATGTTCGATATTTAAACCCTGTCTTTCACATTCCTTATCGGTCCATTTCAATATTGCTTTGAACAATTCCATTTCTGTTATCGAGAACGTCTCTTTCTTTAGAAAAGCATTGAGCGTAGATGATCCGATACTACAAAACGCTTCCGAGTTGATGCATTCCAGAGGTTTCTCCGAAACAATATTCCAGCACATTTCTTCTAACTCTTTTTCATCAAATTGCACCGCTTGCTTCAACACCGCGAAGGCATTATCAGGCTTGATGCTTGCCTCTAGAATCTCGCGACACTTCTCCGCCAAAGACGAAACGAGATACTTCTTAGCCAAATGTATGACAACTATCGCGTTCTCAGCAGTTATTTTACAAGCGTCAGTGTACAGAAATCGCAGAAACTCTTCGAAGCTTTCTTCTTCCGCGTCTGGGATACATATGGGAGATTCTTTCTCGGCTAAATTCCCGTAAAACATGGCAAAAAACACAGCACTGCTCGCAGGGGCGTAAATGTGGGGGTGGGGGGTGTGGGGGGGTGGTTCACCCCCCCAGAGAAATGATCCAGTCGGTCTCAAACTACGTGCAATCGGTCTCAAAATTATGCGTTTGTTTACATGCAGTGCTTTGCGAAGCAAATGAAATATTTTCGAAACTCGAGATAGACTCAGACTATTGAGTATTGAGTTGGAAATTCGCTCAAACGGACCAAACAGCTCAGAAGTAATATGAAGAAATATTACGTACTTATTTCGCGAGTTTATGAACGAATTATCATTCAAAACACGCGCGAAGGGATGAAGTTTCCATTTGCTTTCCAAACATGGAGGTATCTATATGTCACGATTACGTGTTGGCACTTTTATTTGGAATTTAGGTTCTGCAAGGTCATTCACGGGTGATATTCTATATTAGCGAAAATTTCAAACACCCAAAATCAGACTCCAAAATGCGATGAATCTCGATCAAAATAGCTAACATTAGTTACAGTATTTACTGTATTTCTCCGGTCCCTAAACTATATTTTTAAGATGTAAAGTGCAAAAACGAATTTCTAGCCGAGTTATATTAGGAAGTATGTTCACATGTAACACGATATGCATATGCATTTTGTTACCAAAGAGTTTTATGTGCCTACTGCAATCAAGAAATTCGATCAGTGAACGACGCACTGGTTTATCTGAAATCACGGAGCGAAAAATTGTTTCCACTGACTAGACGATGTTTCCAATTGTTGCTTACAATCAGGCCCAAAACTAGGTATACGAGTCAATCGAGTTTGAGTTCAATGACAGACTGTATAGTTCTCTCTATGTAAAGAAGCATTATTCTTGCCCTACAGTGACGTAAGAAATGGGAGGCTGTATGGGTGCACAAATACCCCAATAACAGAAGTGCGGGCCAGCGCCCAAATATTATTACAACAATTGAGCACAAACACTTTTTTATTATGCACCTGATCAATTATGTTCGACCAAAAATATTTGTAATTCTTAGCCTCAGGATTGGGGGAAAACTACAGTATAAAATTATAGTCATTGTGTCGCTGTTTATGAAATTGATATTTCGTTTGAACTGCTCCCAGAATGCAGGAAATAGCGTTTCTAAGCCTTAGAAAATCAAAAATTTTCTGGGGGAGCATGCAGACCCCCCCCCCAGAAGTGTCTCGGTCAATCAAAAATCCTATAGTTACGCGCCTGACAGTTCCTGTAACATCCGCATCAGCCGAGCGCAGCTTTTCAAAGCTGAAATCAGTGAAAACTGTTATGCGTTCAGTAATGAACCAGGAACGCCTTGGTGAACTCTTGACTCTTTGCGTGTGAGCGCGATCTAACAGACACGATCGATCTTGACGAAATCGCTAATCCGTGGTCAAACCTGACTAAGCGCGGACACTTAATAAAAATATAACGTTTCACAGCAAACTGTACGTGTTCTTGCAAAATTCCTAATAAATGCCATCAATTTCCATGCTTTGCATTCAATTTTATTGCAACACACCAACTCACCAAGAGTCGGTCTGGATTCACATTTCAGTAGTGAGTCGGTCTCATTTCGTGATTACACCCTCCCAGTCAAAATCGATATGTCCGCCCCTGGTTATGACATGAATTCAAGGTTTAAGTGGTGTACATTGAAATCGGATATCATATACGATCATTCACGCAATTTGTTGGGTATTCAAATGGTGTTTTCAAATCACAGTATAATTAAGACATTCAGCAAGTACTTAATAGCAAGTATAGTTAAAGAGAAATTGAACGCAAATTTAAAAGGGCTTAATTTACCTATGATGGGTTATACGTCATTATTAAAATATAATTGTATAAAAAAATAACATGGTGCTGATTTCTTTCTTGTCTTTCTAAGTAGCACTATACACACGCCTGCATGATAAGATACCTTACAAATCGATCCAATAGTTTTGTGTCAGTCAGTCGGTGGTAATATACTTGTTTATATTTTGGGGGCAAAGTACCGAAATTTGGTATGGAAAATTGTTGAAAAGTCCCTCGAAAGCAATTACAACGTACTTGTCCGGAAAAATATTTTACCTAAAAAGAAATTATTGTCCGAAAATTTTTTTTCCGGAAAATGTTTTTGCAATAGGGGCCCCTAAAAAAATTTTTTGCAATAGGGGCCCCGCCAAGCTCTCGGCGGCCCTGACTATAGTCAAAGCCGGGGAAAGCCATCATACGAACTTTTCAACAAAGCTTTTTCAAGACAATTCTTTCTGACTCAAAAATGTTACGAACTCAGTAATACGAATTCAGTAATACGAACTCAGTAACAGTAATGGAATAACGCCATAAAACGTTTAGTTACAAGAGCAAAACAAGGGAACGAGGTTGGCTCGCGAGCAATTTGAGATAATAGGTAATTAGTATTAACGCTGGAGTTAGGGGTTAAGGCCTAATTCCACGACGGGCGAAATGCGAAAAATGTCGCGCAAAAACACACTTGTGCGATTAAAATTTTCTCTCGTAGTGATTTCCACAGTAGAGAGAAAACGCGCGATTTTTGAATGACATCAAAACAAATACAAGCATTCGATTGGCTTCGCACAAGACACAAGCATTAAATTTGATTGGCTTCGCTATTTCCATTTCGCAACGGAGTAGAAACGAATTCAACTACCCGGTGAAGAGAAATATTTTGCAGAGAAACATTCCAAAGTCATATTGCGCATGCGTTCAACCTTTTCACGCGTAATTGCTCGCATTATTTCGTCCGTCATGGAATTATGCCTTTAGCCTTTGGGCTTGTGTTAGGCTTGAGGTTGGTGTTGGGGTATTAATAAGGATTCCATACGGAAAGTAAATGGAACAAGCATATTTCGACTGCCCAACCGGAACTTTTCCGGAATGAACGGTTTGTTTGAAAAGGTTGTCCTCTCTTACCGTTTGGGAACCGGTAAATTTTGTTCCATTTACATCTTTTTTATTTTTTCACCAGTTCCAGGCTCTTCTCGATTTAACAATTGAAATTATTAAATACTTCAGTGCCTTCCGGTCAGTCACTCTAAATGGAAAGCGCATAATCCGAATATAATTTTTCATCCGAAATCTTGCTTACTATTAGCACAATTTCAAACCGGATGGGTTTTCCATGTAAATGGTAAACAACATGCAAGGATTCAATCTCAGTATTCGACCTTATACAGGATTCAAGGATTCCGATCTTAGATTTCAAGGCGTACCCACGAGGGGGAATGAGAGGGGTGGGGACTGGACCCCCACTTTTCTTCAGAACCAATTTTGCAATTATTTCACAAATGAGGAGAAATGGGTGGGGGGGGGGGGTAACCTCTTGTATTCAGATAATCATAAAACTTGTCTAAAATGCATGAAATAGCGTTTCGCAGGGCTTATAAATAAAAAATGGTGCCCGGCCGGTCGGACGATTACTCCACTCCCCCCCCACCCCCCAGCTGGCTACGCCTCTGACAGTCATAAACTATAGTCAAACGCATGGACTATAGTCATAGTGATAGTTATGGACTATACTGGCATAGTCATACATGAATATTTACTAACATGAAGATATTGTAAGATTATCACGCGAAGACAGACAGAGTACAATAACTCTTTAAGGATATAAAAGGCACCCAGGTCTTTTGACATTGTAACATGCTCTCAGGAGCACTATAGAGCTAGAGCTTAACCCTAGGTTAACCTAAAATTTAAAGCAAACATCTTGGCAGGTTGTTTACAAATTTGGAAATGATTCTTCAGAAATCTTGTCTGGGTTGATAGGAGTTTTTAATTGCTCCTCTGAATTTTTTAAATAATCAGAAAATAATGCAGAAATACATAAACGGTTAGCGCTAACCCACCTTTGAACAACTGGCCCTGGACTTTAATACAAAACAAGTTTTGAAACAGTAGTAATGTTTTTGAAATGCTTTTTTCCGATGTTGATGAGCGGTGTTTTCTTCGTGACTTCGTCACGTCCAAATATTTATCGAGTTTCCACTGACGATATAAAATGGAAATTCCTCAATTTTTCGCCACAAAAAAATGTAAAACAGTCAGAACTGTTGATAAACTTGACCAGGATTGAATATTTGAATAGTGGCCAGAAGGTGAAAAAATAGAGTTTCGTAATCTTGGTTAAACATCTGCATGGGTATAACTCAAATTTGCCTCTGTTAGCAAGCTTCAATTTGCCCTTTCGTTCGCCTGAACTTTTCCCGCAATTATGCCCACTCTATTATTTTATAATCTGTATGTCCAGGACTACAATATTTCATCCGGTTCCGTGTGAACACTTTTTGAGTTCCGTGTGAACATGTATAGAACTGGACGAATTTGAGTACAGTTCCGAATTCATCCTGCCCTGTATGAACGTAGAGTAAATATAAGTTTTCTGTTCAATTTTGCTGCTTTTTACAGCCTGTATAGACTCTAACGTTTAGAATTCCTGTTAAGAACTAAAGAACTGTATTAGCTTGTGTTTAGCAATCGCTTGGCAACCTTATATTTTTATTAGTCTATAAGAGCTGTGTATATTATAGCACAGACCTACCTCAACAAACCCTTGTGTATACTGCAGGGTTTATTTTAACTACACAAAATGTGCAGTTCTAAACCCATTTGTGCAGTTCTTAAAACACAAATGTGCAGTCACCAAACTAACAAAAATAGCCTTAAACCAGTCTTCTCATTTACTCGTTACCCTTGTGGATGCTACAGAAAATTCCAGGGGTAATAGAAAAGAAGATAAAATTGGGGCGAGTGAAGCTCCCCAAAAGAGATAAGAGTGGGAGAACCTAACCCGCCCAACCATACCATTATTCTGTCACTTATACGCAGGTAAAAAATCCTTTGACATCCCCCCCCCCCAGTCAAACACACGTTGCTTTCGTAACATCCCTACATGTGCAGTTCTAAATTTTCTTAAACAATCTTAAAATAAACCGACCTATATTAATCTTTAAAGTTTAAATATCTCTTCGTTTCGCCGCCGGACATACTTCGGATAAATAAATGTTCGCCAATCAGTGAGGGACTCGAACCCCCTTAGACTTTTACTTTTGGTAGAAAGTATTTTATCGTTGAAATAGGTTGAATTGAAATTCCTACATTTATCCAAGATTACTCGCTAAGTACTCAGGCATGCAGACAGACAGAGCCTCGAATGTTAGGTATACGGGTATATTTAGCCGGTATTAGGTTAGACCAGATCTTTGGATTGACTTTTACAACTCAATGCCACTACCAGTCATTATAGTTCAATTTATTACAGAATCATAAGATTGTATTTTGATAAGGAACGTATATTTTTACGTACCCTCGCATTGTCCGTTCGTCTATGTTGCGCGACCTATTGTGACGTCATTGCACTCCCTCGCAGCGCCTCAAAAATTAAATCGGGGTCAATAACTTCATTACACTTGCAGTCGCAGCGCCTCAAAAAAGGACTCGCACGGTGCTATATCACTTCTTTAATCCAAGTGCTTTTACGCATATTTTAGACAACGTGGGTGGGGTTGGAATGGGATGGGGGGAAAAGGTGACCTAGGGAAGTCATACGTTGGGATTGCCAGGCGTACTCTTCTTATTCATTATTGTATAAATGTCACTGAGAGTAAATCCCTCGAAAAATTTTACACTTTATGTAATGTGCATGTAACATCGGTGTTCTTTTATTGATTGGCATTAGGCGGCTGTCGTGCTCTGAAAGATCAAGATCGTAGCTTATCAAACGGCATTTACAAGATCGACTCTGTTCAGGTAAGCAATGATCGTAACAATAATAAATAATTAATAACAAATCTAGACCACATTCAGACAACTTTCAGTTTTACAAAACCCCATTATATTTCTAATCATATAGAGGGCAAAATTACTCAAATATGATTGGCTAATGAGGAGGGCATTTTTTCTTAATTCAGGGCAAAATTACTTGTACCTGATTGGCTGAGATGCAAGCGCGGGAAGTTTCTTGTTTTAAATAGCAATAAAAACAATGGCTTCTCGCTTTGTCGTCGCGGATAATGATGTTATTGAAAAACTTAATCCTACAGAAAACTTGAACACTAGAAAAAGTACATATTTATTGGTTGCAGTATTTAAGAAATTGGCAGCCAGGGCAGCATTAAGAAACATCGGCGAAAAGGCGCCGAAGACATGGAGACATACGAGGTTCAAGAACTTGACGAGTTCACAATTAACTTACGAATAAATTTTGCCCTCTATGATTAACAAGTAATCGCATAGTTCCTCGTAAAATTAAGGTTTAATTTCACTTGTGCTTGCATCTCAGGTTTAATTTCACTTGTGTCTTTTTAATTTCACACGCGTGAAATTAAACCTTAATTTTACTCAGCCCCATGCGATTACCTATACAAATCCTATGAATAGCTCGAACGATATTCGTTGTCAGTTTTGTTTGCAGACAATTAACACCCCTATATAAAGTTAAGGCTTAAAGTTTAGTTAATTAAAATTACGAATTGCTTTTTGTCCCGACATCATCGTTTCCAATTTGCAGTCGCGATATTGTGCAGCAAAAGTGCTGTAAAGCCTGGTTTCCATATGATCGTTACGATCGCTTCAATCATTGCGACTGCTGAAAAAATGTACTGGCAGCGATCGTAGTGATTATATGGAAATCAATTAGTTGGTGATCGCAGCGACCGCAATGATCGTGATCGCTGAAAAGTTTCTATCTTAATGTCCATTTTCCACTCCGTTATTTCGCCGCCGCTGGCGAAAAATTTTGACAAAGAAATAATTTTTTTACATTCATTTACCGCTGAAGAAATTTGTTCTCCTGCTACAGTTGCTTAAAATTTTCAACTTCTGTTTGACCTTTCGTTGACGGCGCGAAAGAACAACAAATGAACTTTTTCGGTGGCGAAATTTTTCGCCAGCGGCGGCGAAATACGTGAGTGGAAAACGGGGCTTAAGCAATCGTAACGACCCCAGTGAACACATGGAAACGGAAATTCTCCGTAATTTCTGCTTCTTCTGTCGACGTCGTCTAAAAATTCCCAATATTTCGAGGAACCAAGCTTCCAATAACAAACCCTCGTTTATTGCTGCCAAATCTCCTTCTCCGAGCCTGCGAACCTCGGGAAGGAACGTGAGGCTCTGGGATAATCCGTTTCAGGGAGGAATCTGATTGGCCGTTGATATGGAATGCGCAGTTCAATCTTAGCCAGAATTCCTGGCTTCCAGCAACGGATCCGGATTATCCCAGAGCCTCACGTTCCTTCCCGAGGATCGCAGGTCGCGCCATAAACTTTTTCCCAGCTCTCTCACATCATATGCGCGCAAAAAGTGAAGCGATCATATATAAATGAACGAACGATTGCGATCGTTACAGTCACTGGTAAATTTTTATAGCGATCGTAACGATCATATGGAAACCAAGCTTTATAGCATTGACTATAACGTTCAACCGCGCATTTGTCTTGCAATGATGATAATGCAATGAATTACGGGAATTTCTAACACTAGGTCTATTTATGTATGCAATGTAATTATATAGTTCGGTTGACAATAACCGATATATTTCATTCCAATTAATTATTTCGTGCTTTTATACATGATAGTTATGCAAGCTCCCTCAATATTTTTGCGAATACTACAGTGTTTGCATGCAAAATAGTGATGATTTCGAAACAGGGTAAAATTGCCAGTCAAGTTGCTTGCAAAATACTCATAACCAGTGATACAGTGTTATTGTCGACTACCGAGTGAGGCATTCCAATGACTGCTGCTCACACATTAAACTAATTATAATAGCATGTCCTTTTTTAAATATTATTCAAAAGATGTATTGTGATATGAGCAATGACGGGTGGACCCTAATAGCAAGATTCTCAAATGCTGACTCTAAGAACTGGATGTTAAATGGGAATTTATGGTATGATAGAATATCATCCTTTGGCCACACCACTCGCCCAGCTTACAACAAGGATATGATTTCTGATGCATTCTGGAAAGTGAAAGGAAATGAATTTAAGATTACACGTAGTGATGATTCCAGTCACACAGCTCTACTACAGACAACTTCCAATTGTCTTCAAGGCGGAACATTCAGATCTAAGATCACAAGTTATGGAAACTTTCGTAGCGGTGCTGTCTGGGCAAGTGACCGGTGTCGTGGAAGTTGTTCAGTTAGTTATGGCGGTCAGTACAAAACTACAGCAGGTTTTGAAAAGCACAGTTGTAGCAGCAGCATTCAGACCAGTAACTACATCGGGTTTTGGTGTGATTGGTCTGGTGGTGATGGTGCAGTGATGATGATTGGTGGAGGAGGAAGCAGTTGTGACAGAGCAGATCATGGTATTGGAATAACAGAGGAAAATGAAGCAAAGTTTGGCAATGGAACACCATATTATGATTTTGGTTATGAAGCAAACAACACTCCCACCTCAGCGTATTCACTCAACCTGTGGGTTCGCTAAGCATGTATCTTGTTTAGCCATTGGATGTAATATATGTACTGCTTATGAATTTTTAATTTTGCAAACTGACTGTACTTGGAAGTACATATTTGTGATGAATATCATGAATAATTAATAAACTTTACAACCCAATTACATTTAAAATATTACATATTAGTTCACACATATAATTCATTACTGCACACTACTGTTCATGTTGTAAACATTACATACTACATACTAGATATTTACTATATATTCCTGCTTTGATTAAATGGCACAATGTTTCACTGTCATGTATGTTTTGGTGTTTTGTAGCATATTATTTTCAGCATCTGATATCAAATTGCCCAGCATGTTAATTGTTATAATTACAATATAATTACAAATTGTTAATTGTTATATTGCAGCAATTTTCAAGGCCTCTTTCAGGGCCCCAATTCAGGGGTCTCTTTTATCATGTCTATAAACCGGGGGGAAGACAAGTCTGAGAAATCTCCCCAGTCCCATTACCGTTCCCCTTCTCCAGTGTAGATCCCTTTTGGCCAAATAAAAGCAAAACGGGAATAATAACATGATCAGGAAATCATGTCCCATAGGCATATACATCCAGACTCTCCTATTGGTTCGCAATTCTCAGTTCACCGCCTTCTCGTCAGATCCTTATCTTTTTCCCCCATTTATCCCAAAAAACAGACGTTTGTGAATTGTGCTAATTTTAGCCACATGTATACTTTCAAATTCAAGTAACTGTAGATTAAGTATATAAACCTACACAGTCCAGATAATTAGTGCAAAGCTAGTTAGCTATAGCAACTGGCTATGCATGCTATGCCAATAAACATGATCTAAATCGGGTAAGGACAATACGTTTCTGAATGTTTGAATAATGCAAATCATTAAAAATTTGCATAGCATGACCTTTTGCGATGCCTAGCTTCGCCACTGGTTACCCTAACGCCAAACATGGGATTTTATCATATATGCTTGCTCGTGCATATATGTAGGCTATCTAGGAGGCTTTTATCGAGTTATTTATTTAATTACTATATTGCTTCATGTCCATTTACTGTTTTATCATGCACTGATCCGATCCCTGCATGCCGAGTGTTTTTTGAAGATTTTTGTGCTGTGCTCGTTTTGTGCTGTGTCGTTTTGTGCTGAATGCTGCAATTCAATCCATTAAAAACTACCTATTATACCATACTCACGTACACTGCTGAATCTCAGTTATGTATTTCTGCTGATATATCTCTGTTTTATATTTTGAGCCACACTTTTTGTTCAATTATTGACTGCAAGGACATGGCAGCGAGTTGAAAAGTAACTCATTAATAATTCATAAGCAAATCTGGACAACCATAATATGTCACGTGCAGTGTCTTTAAACCTCAAAAAGCACTCCCCATTTATAGTATTCTTTATATAAAGAATATTAATAAGGCAGTATATCTATAATTGAATTTGTAGTCGTGTTAGAAGCCGTTTAATAAACTCGCAGGACGTATACGTCGTCGACCACGCGATTCTCCATCATAAACTTTACGCGCACGGACTCAGAGGTTCTATATTGCTCTGGTTTAAGGATTATTTAACTGATAGATGCCAACGCGTGGTGCTAGAAAATGTTGCTTCCGAATGGTCCCCTGTTACCTCTGGGGTACCTAAGGGGAGCATTTTAGGGCTATTGTTATTTACAATTTTTATCAATACTCTGCCTGATTCCCTATCACCTGCATCGAAAACTGCTCTTTACGCGGACGATTCAAAAGTATATCGACCTATTACATCTCCGGTTGACTCCATGGCCCTACAACAAGACCTGAATAACCTTGATGTTTGGAGAGTCAAAAACAGTCTACAGTTTAATTCATCTAAATGTGAAATCCTCACAGTTACACGAAAGAAACATCCCAGTACATTTCCATACAACCTGGCTGGTAATGATCTTGTTCGTTGTGATGAAGTAAGAGATTTGGGGATAACAATAACTTATAATCTTAAGTACAATACAATACAATAATACAATAATTTAATGAACACTCCCCATGGAGGCTTTTCAGTGATCATTTACAATAAGTAATAAACTAATTATGTACAAAACGAAATACTAGTCCTAAGATAGTATAAACTGATTTAGTAATTGAGTTTTCATTTTTTGCTTAAAAATATGTACAGAGTCACTTAATTTTAAAGAAGTTTCTAATGAGTTCCATAAGCTTACTGTACGGTAATAAAAGAATCTTTGGCCACTAGTGGTCTTAAACAGTGGAATATTCAGCAACTGTGAGCTTCTGGTAGTCCACTTACTCACGTCACATCGTTTAATAAACTACGCCAGGATCGCGTCTCGATAATAAAGTTGTAATTTAACGGGTAGCTACTTAAGGTTTTTCAATACGGGAGTAATGTGATCGTATTTACGAGTTCCCGTCACAATGCGTGCAGCGAAATTCTGTGCAGTCTGTAGCTCTGTAGCTTTTTTAGATTTTTCTCTGCAGTATTACACCATACAGACGAACAGTAAAACATTTTACTAAAGACTAAAGTGTTAATTATTGTAATAAGTGTTTTCCTATCAAATGCATGCTTCACGCGATTTATCTGACCTAAAATCGACATGCACGAAGACACATTTTTTATAGTATGCTCATCAAAACTAAGGGTCTGATCAAAGGTTACACCCAGGTCCTTTACATGCAGTGAAGGTTGGATATCTTTTCCTAACAATGTTACACGAAAATCAGATAGTTTGGATAGCATTTGTCGGCTGCCATAGACCCATTAATTTTATCTTCTTTGGATTCAAGAGTAGACAATTTTCAAAACACCAGTTACGTATTCGAACTAGATCGTCATTAATTTCAATCATTGCCTTGGTACTATCGTGTATTGGAAATGAGATATAGAGTTTACTGTCGTCTACATAGCAGTCGGGTGTGCAGGACCTCGGAACAAGTGGTAGATCATTGACATAAATATTGAACAAGATTGGGCCAAGGATACTGCCCTGTGGGACTCCGCTTGTAACTATAGCAAAGGATCTGATAAGGTTGAATTTATGCATACCACTTGATATCGATTTGACAGGTAGCTACTGAACCATGACAATCCAGAAGGTGATATACCAATGTCCCGCAATTTATTTAATAATGTTTGGTGATTTATGCTGTCAAAAGCCTTGCTAAAGTCTAACAATACAACTGCAGTTAATTTCTTACTGTCAATTGCTGTTAGGATTTCATCAGTAACTTTTATCAGAGATGTTTCGGTAGAATGGTCTTTTTTGTTTCCGCTTTGCTTCGTAGAAAGTTTCCCATTTAAAACTAAATAAGGCATCAACTGATTCAATGCTGATCGTTCACATATCTTTGATAATACAGGTAGGAGTGAGATGGGACGGTTGTTCTCTGCTTCTTCGTGATCGCCTTCCTTTAAGACGGGCAAGTGGGATTCTCATGTCACACGAATTCGATCTACTGCAAATAAATGTCTGGGTCTCCTGAAACGGACTTGTTATGATTTACCTGATACGCGAGCTAGGAGAGCTTTGTATCTATCCCTAGTTAAATCGCAACTAAGTTACGGTTCTCAAGTATGGTCCCCTGAATCTGCTACCTTGAAGAAAAGAATTGAAGACGTGCAACGACGTGCTTCGTTGTGGATTTTAAGACTTAAACGAGGGGACTTAGCTTACGTGGATCGCTTAAAGAAACTAGATCTCCTGCCACTTTCTTATGATAGAGAGATCAAAGATTTGACTTTTTATTATAAATGTAGATATGGTCTAATTGACTCGATACAAATATTTTTACAGCTTTTGTCAGTAGTAGACTAGACGGGGGTCGTCAATGTATTTACAGACCCCTTTTTGCAAAACTATAGTACTTTTAAAACATCGTACTTCAATAGAATTGTCCATCTATGGAACTTAATCCTCAAGTTAGCTCCATCTTGTATATTTGCAACTCTCAGTAGTTTCAAAACATTCTTGTACAAGACTTACAAGGAACTTTTGACAACAACATTCGATCCAGATTTACCCTGCACCTATTCATTGTGTAGGACGTGTCCTTGTCATTCCTAATTTTATCTATTTTAAATGCTTATATATAATAGTTATTACAGTTACGCTAGTAGTTTGTAAATTTTAGTCAGGCTGACACCTTGCATGGGACCTCGTCCCGTTCGTGTCAAGCCTTATTTAGTATGTGTGGTACTGAATTAAAGTTGTTAAACAATCCAGCGTTATTAGTTCTTGGATATTTTTCAGTTACTCCTTTTAATTACTAGTAAAAGAGACACAGTAACAAACAATACATCAGTTTAAAACCATGGCGAATACTACAGTTGACCACCAAGTTTCTGGAGTTATATAAGTAATATAACGTGGCTAAACTAATCTAACAGTCATTTACGAATATGTCCCATGCATTTTAGACACATCACACATGTAGTTTCAGATTCAAGTTACCATAGACATAGTGATAGGTGGTGTGCGAGTTTACGTCACCGTCGCCATGTTGGATGACATTGACAAAGGATTTTTGATTTGATGCAACCAATCACATGGGATTCAAAGGACAAAGGGATTTTCGCCATGTTGGATGGTATTTGCATTGCAAATAAACTTATTGTCCAGAGAACTAGTCTGCTATCTTTCTCGCAACAATTTGGTAAACTGAGGGGACGAAAAGAGTGAGTTCCATCATTATTAACAAATTTGTTCATGAACTCTTTCTTCTTGATAAAAGACACTTTTGTTTTATCATAATAATCTGAAGCAAATACAAAAGCTAGAAATTCATCTGCAAAACAAAATGTGTAGGAGCGTTGACAATGAGCGGAAAAGGGGCAAATGCCTCAAATTATTTTTGCCCCATTTTGCCCCCCCCCCACCTCAAAAAAATATTAGTCACTAAGAGCGACTAAAGGCTACACAAGCGTTCTGTCGTTATCGGAAAATGTATGGCTTATAAGTTGTCATTACTCATTAGTGAATGCGCGTATACATGAAACTGTTTTTTACAGTTTCAATATTAGTTTGTAAATGTTTGAATGGTAAAACTTGCCAATACTCCAATAATACGTTTCAAAAAAAGACAAAAAAGCTTTAGTTTTGAAGAGTTAAATTCTCAAACGTGTAAGGCAATAATAAGATGAAAGTAACACGAAATTATTTGAATAAACCACATCGCATATATGGGGGGCGAATGTCCTAAAGAGGGGCGATATTCCTAGAGTATTCGCCCCACCCCCCTGGGAGGCGATATTCCTAGGATATTCGCCCCCGGGGGCGATATTCCTAGGAATATCGCCACGTTTTGAGGGGGGGGGGGCGAATTTCCTGGGGGGCGACCTTTTTAAAAATTCTATCTTGCCCCCCCAAAATTTGAGTTTGCCCCTCAAATGCCCCCCCAAATTTGGAAGCCTGGCGCCGCCACTGAGCCACCGTTGATAATAGAGAGTTTGGCAACCTAGAACGGCAACCACAACGGCAACAGGGAAAATATAATTGCTTATATTATTGTATTTGAGCCAAAGTATACGTTACTACACTTAATTTGCCTCTTTAAGTATTCCTGTTTCTTTCAAACGTACCCTTAAGTAAAAATAGTCCGCGAATTCGAATAAAACACCTCAAAAAACATCGAACGAATTGACTGTTGCCGTAGTCATGCACCGTGAAAATGATGCAAATCACGTACTAGTTTCAACAACTACGGCATTGCACAACGCTTAATACCATGTAATTTACATTCGCCTTTGTCTTTGAAGATTAATGCTATTGTTGATGACCATATCGCCGTTGCCCTTGTATTTGCCAAACTCTAATACTCACTGGCGATAATGACGAAACCTGATTTCTGAAGTAGCTTTTCAGTCACAGATTTCTTCACAAAATACTGAAATGGCACTTTCTCTTTGGTATTCTTCACGTCACACGGCACTGACTCTTCTGACAGCGTATCCTTTGGGAACAGATATATTTTTAGCTTCTTTGACAATATCGGCGTCATCCTCGTGACTTTGAATTGCAATCTTGCCTCCAGCTTTCAAACATTTGAACGCAGTCTGGACAAAAATCTCTTTTTCTTCAGGAGTCAGCCATTGGAAAACGAAATTACTAAAATGTATATCGTAATATTGTTCATCAAAATGAGGAAATTGGCTCGAACTTTCCCCGTGTTTGAATATAATATTTTGAGAATGTTTTTGAATGGCAACTTTGATTCTCTCCGAGTCTGGATCCACACCAACTACTTGACTTTCTTCACCAACTTTCTGTGCAAGAAATGAAGTGAGTTCACCAGTTCCACATCCCATGTCTAGAACTTTGTGTCCGCGTTTTACTCCTGCTGCTGCTGCAAGCATTTTTCCATACTGTAGTTGAACATTGTTTATTTCCGAGTACTTATTTGCATTACTATTTGAGCCACGTTGTTTACTGAATGTTGACAGCATAGTGAGTTATAAAGTAAATCAAATGATAATCTGATGTTTATTGAAGACCTCTCGACAACAAATTTAGTATAACTATGTCTTGTTTACGTTTCCTAGCCTGCTCGCGAGCAGGCTAACGTTTCCCTGCCGGCCAAATACAGAGTGTCTCAAAAAACCGCTACCCTTGGAAATTCAACATTGTTCTAATTTGAATGCCTGAGTGCTATCTTGAACTCATGGATGCATGAACAATTTGAATGGAATTTTATGCTTGAGAAGTTATTGAAAAGTTTCTGGTTTTGTTCAGCATATGACTGATTGATTTAAACGCAACAAAAATACGTAAGTTAAACAAAACGTTGTTTATTTTTACAATTATTAAGCACCTCGTCCTTCGACTTGGCCCCCATTTCTCTCAACACAAAGTAATGTTCGTCTATGCATATCACACACGGCTCGGCTAATGAGGGCCATAGATATCTTATATACACTAGATAGTGCATCTAATTATTCTGCAATTCAAAAATTGAAGCCGTGATTGCAGACTCAGGTCGTTCCCATGAAATGAGAAGGTTCGTATGTTTTCCATTTCTTAAACAGGGAACTTAAACCTTAAATTAAACCTTTTCCAAATACATTTTTAAACTATTCAAATGATGAAAGTTATTGTTGTTTTTAAGCGTTAATTAGCAAGTGGGAACGACCAATATGGCCGCCATCTATTCAAATGGGGGTAGCCGCTGGAATATTCTTTGCTTCAATTTTACTAAAAGAGATACTCTATCTAGTGTATATAAGATATCTATGATGAGGGCAGGCTGTTGTCGTAAAGGCTAGCATCAAACTCTTCGATGATTATTTGGCGTAACGCATCAATAAAGGTTCAGGCATTCAAATTAGAACAATGGTGAATTTCTAAGGGTAGCGGTTTTTTTGAGACACCCTGTATATATTTTAAAACCACTGTGACTGCAGTGCAGAATTACAATGGGGGGGGGGGGGCAGGCATGCATGTCGTGCAATTACGGCAATGAGCCAATTGGACATATTTTTCATGCAAATGTACAAAAAGTATTGGCATACTTCGAAACCCGGACCGGACTCGAAGAGAATCCGGACTCGAGAAAAACCCGGACTCGAAAAAAATCCGGACTCGTCTTTCAAAAAACCAACCTCGTCCCCAGGCTCTTACCTCTTGTGGAGGAAAGACCCTGGTAGGAGGAAATTGTCTCGAACTGTCCCCGTGTTTGAATGTAATATTTTCAGAATGTTTTTGAATGGCAACTTTAATTCTCTCCAAGTCTGGATCAACACCAACTACTTGACTTTCTTCACCAACTTTCTGTGCAAGAAATAATCTATGGAGTTCACCAGTTCCACATCCCATGTCTAGAACTTTGTGTCCGCGTTTTACCCCTGCTGCTGCTGCAAGCGTTTTTCCATACTGTAGTTGAACATTGTTTATTTCCGAGTATACTTATTTGCGTTACATTTTGAGCCACGTTGTTTACTATTGAATGTTGACATCATTGTGAGTTGTAAATTGTAAATTGTAAATTGTAAATTGTAAATTGTAAGTTGTAAATCAAATGATAATCTGATGTTTTTGAAGACTTCTCAACAACAAATTCAGTATAACTATGTCTTGTTTACGTTTCCCTGCCGGCCAAGTATTAACATGGGCGTACAGGAGGGAAAAAATTAGGGCGGCGGAAGGAAATATAACCGACTTTCCCCGTTGTGCCCAACGTACTGAAAAAAATTTTCCTTACAAACTTTCCATGCGCAAAATTGTTGTCGACGGGGGGGATATTCGGCTAATCTCGGTTACTTTTACATAATCCTTGTAATTTCGACTACTTATTGTATATGTCTTCTTTTTAAAGTTTTCCCCACAGTTTTTGCCCAATTTACGTTTATAAATTGCCCGACTTCATTTTGACTGACTGGGGGGCAGCTAACCCCCTGCCCCGTACGCCTATGTTTCAAATATAGTTTACAAGTACAAGTTTCACAAGCAAAATCCGGAGTCGATTCTCTCGTTTCCGTCACTTCACAGCTTTCTGGCAACCTTATTTATTCTATGTATTTCCTCCCTTTAGTTTAATTACACTGGTTCTCTAGAAAATTCAGGAGGAACACAGTATGGGGGTAATGGTAGTTCCGCAATGGCCAACACAACCTTGGTGGCCAGCTCTAATGCGAATGATAGTGCAACAGCCCTTAATTCTACTTCATACAAAACAAACTCTACTTTTACTGTCCTTGAACCCAAATCTGCTACATCCCTACACTAAAATTAACACTACTGATGTGAGTTTTGGTTTAAGAGAAAGAGACTTGGGCGAGTAAATATAGTAATTTGATTTTTGAGCGTTTTATTGGCGTTTTTAGAAACAGGATTAGCAAACACATCAGAGCAATTTCTAGCGGAATATTCAGAGGCACATATAAATGCCCCCCTCACCCCGAATTCAATGTTGTGTGAATGACTGAAAAGAGAAAATTCAACCCACTTTTTCCAACATTGATCATGGGGGCAGGGGGGAGGCCGATGTACTTTAAAATGGCCAAAAATGTGAAAAGTCTCATTAAGGCAGCGTTTACACTGTACCGTTTTCGTAGCGTTCTCGTATTGTTCGAGAGAACTAGACTATTGTCTTGTGTTCCCTTGAGGATTAAAAACAATACGAGAACGCTACGAAAACGGTACAGTATAAACGCTGCCTAATTTTGCACGCGATGGTAGGTCTAGTCTGCATACAGGGTGTATCAAAAAACCTGCAAACACTATAATTTGCATAATTCTGCTGCTTACTAGCATTTCAATGTCTGCGCTACTTATTTCGTTCCTGGGATTTGAAAATAACCACGTTGATAGAAATTAGAATAACACAAAGTTATTTGTAATGCAGAAAACAATTATCAGTTCGACTGCGAATGGTCAACTATTGGTTTACGCACGCTTGGGATCAATTAGTTCTGAATCATGCAAATTCTAAAAACATTTGCAGGTTTTACACCCTGTACAGGGTGTATAAAAAAAACGCAACCTCGGAATTTCCTAAGAAATCACTTTGCAATTCTTAAGCATAAAAGATTTTAGGCCCCTGGGAATTGAAATCGAATTGCTAATAGATCATATTACTGTTGTTGTGCATTAAATAAATGCATAAATTTTGCTTTATGCACTCGCGTGTGCAATAATTTTGACAGTTGTGCTATAATCCGAGGTTGCGTTTTTTTTATACACCCTGTACACCCTGTATACAAGGACTGAATTAATGACATGTTAATAACTGCGTATTGTATCCTTACGTACCTGAAATTTAGTAAATCCATGATATCCGGGCTCCGGCTCTATCATGGGCTCTATGGGAAACATTCTTTGAATATTTAAATTGAATCAAACGCTTACCGATATGAGTCGGTGATTTTGAATTAATCACAGACGACAGACATGATGATGGCGAATATTGGCCCAAAATATTATTCCAGAGAATGACCAGTTTAACGTTTCAGGCTGCACGACGGGCTGTAGTGAAATGTAAAACATTCTTTGACAAACATTATTTGTTAGCCAATATTGGAGTTTATGGTGGATTGTATTGTTTGGGTGATATAACATGCCAGACAATATCTCATGCAAATACAGAATTGACTCATGACTGGCAAAGGACTAAACGTATGACTATAATAGGTTGTACAGTATTACCTATAATGAACACTTATTTCTATCGTGTCTTGGACAAAGTTATAATTGGCAGTTCATCTCGAGTGGTCTTGCTTAAACTGGTAGTCGATACATTTGCCTGGGCGCCTGTATGTTTTACTGCATTTATAAGTGGTAAGTTATCCAGTATACACTTAACTATATACAGACTATAAAGACTATTATATATGAAATGTTACACGTCTAGTATATGCCGCAGCACAAGTCATCGGGATGATGGATATGGATCATTTGGTATCGGGCCTATCGGTGGAATTGCGCAATATTTAGCAGAGCACATCAAGGGACTTGGGAGTTAGATAAGGTGGAATATAATATAGGTCTGTTAGCAACTCCGCATTTTCCACAGAGTTATTATCATCTATAGGAAGTATAATATACAGCGATCCACATATTTCATTGTATTTCATTGAGGGTACATGATAACAACCGCAAAATCAGATGAACTTTTAAGGCACAGACTTCGTGTGTTGTGTCTGTGTTCAGTGTTGCGTTAAAATGTCTTAGACAATTCGGATATTCAGGCATGCACATCCTATTTTGTTTTTGGGAATTACAATCATATACTCCCTGTATCACCACACACCCTTAACTCATTAGGATGCAATGCTAATGAGCCCAATGATCCCAGAGACGTAGCCACGGGCTGGGGGAGGACCCTCGCGTTTCGGCTTATAGGCGTGACAAACCTCTACAGGAGGTTCTTATTTTAACAAGAACGTCTTGGTCAAATATAACCAGATTCTTGATTACATCGAGTTCAACCAGGCTATGGTAGGACTATTAAGTTAACCCAAACAGTGTTATTGTAGATTAACCAAAACGTTTTAACCAGAGTGTTTTTAGAATGCCTGAATATATACCTGATCCCCTAATGTTTTTCAGCTATTACACTATTAGAGGGCAAAGGTTGGTCAGAAGTTAAAGAAGAACTAATTATCAAATTTCCCCCAGTTTTTAAGGTATATATACTAGAGTGACATCACGTTTCAGTTGAAACAATTTGAGACAATAGTGGGGTTTGGTATTTTGCATTAATTCAAAATTTATCTCCAAACTGTTTTCACCACCTTATCCATGACATAAAAATATGTTTAAAATACTCGTTAATAATACATACACCTTGTGGCAAATCATGTCTGATAAAACTCACCTTCATTAGTATTCTTTATATAATTGTTCATCCTAATTAGTATGATTATATAATTGTTCATCCTAATTTATAGTATTCTTTTGTAGTCGTATTTTAAGCTATTCAAAACACTCGTTGTCGTGTTTTAAACAGTAGAGACCTTACGATTTTAGGACGGCAACGCGTCGGCAACGGCTACCAATACAATAGATCATTGAAAAGAATTGAGTAATTACAGTATATGAATAATTTAGACATTGTCCTCGCTCTGTTTACAACGCTAAATCACAGATTTTCACGTCTTGATACAACGCCAACGGCTGCATTCCAAGCTACAACAAGTGCAACTTCAAACTGGGTTTAGCAGAACTCTTCCCAACCATAAAACCCATATCTTCAACTTCTAAACCAGTATTAAATTCATACGATTGATAATATACGACGAACTATCTTTACTACCATTTATTAGGATTCTGTTTTGGCCATCGCCGTCGCGTTGCCGTCCTAAAATCGTAAGGCCTCCAGTACATATTCAATCAGAGCAGTCGTCATAACTGTATTTATTCTATGGATAACCGATCCCTCATTGTCTCAGATTTCAATTCGAGATGTTCATTAAATTTGTTAAGCCAGATTATCGATTTTTCGGACTCGTACGAACTTTGAACCTTTTACGGACATTTCGTTAACGGTGTACGAGAATTTTATAGTGATATGCTCTTCGAACTAATACGTACGTTTATTATACTGTACATAATTTTATACCAAATAACAATAAATAATATTTTCATTTCTATTTAGAATAGTCTACTTGTTTGGCCCCTTGCACAGGTAAGCTGCGTTATCAGGATTTGGGTTCCATACAATGATGCCGATTTCTATATATTTTTTTCGATAAACTTTTGCATATTTCTTTCTATAGGCAGTAAATTTTGCATTTGTACACCCACGTTTTCGAATGGTGTACATTTCAGTCATTGGCTTTTGTTGGGTTAATGTACTTTCATATCTTAAACATAAGGTCAGTAGTACATGTGGCATGCAATAAAAAATGGAAATATTTATATTATTTACCAAGACATTTTATATATTGCAAAACCTCTTGCATCAAATGATGGGAATGCCACAGAGGGAATATACCACAAGCCTTCGCGCCCTATTGTTTTGTTAGAGCATTTCCACGGGTCATTGCGCAACTACTTTTTTTTCGGAGCAACTTTGAGGAATGACTGTGGAAGATTTTAATCTTCAATAATCTTTAATGTGGTGGTAAAAAGGGGATGGTATTAAAGAGGAGGGTAGGTAGGTAGGTAGGTAATACTTTATTTAAAATTAACAGAAAGAAGAACACGCTAGCCCCATCAACTCTAGGCTGGTTTCCATGGGGGGCGTGTTTAGATCATAAAAATCGTTAAAAGGAAAATTTAAACTAAATATTAGTACACACATAC